TTAGCCAATCAAAATAACGTATTATTATGAAACATACATGTAATGTAATTATTGCTGTATTAACACGTGCATTTCAAAAAAGTCATCGTTCATTTGCATTCTGAAATCTTCATGTTAGTGTACCGAAATGGATTTTATACAGTAAATATTTCGTGACGTAAACAATCTTTATGTGAGCTTAGACATGTTGGACTGAGACGAACGTACACATAGAGTGTAAAGCGGGTAAATGTGGTTTTTTTTTACAGAAAATATATCCTAAATGTTTCATTTACTATTTGTCTTGATGGAAACATTAGCTATCTTGGTGTAATCAGAAGTGTACAGAATTTTACACCAGTGTTGAAAATCTATACACCCTGAGGCGCAGCCGAAGGTCGTATGCATTTTCAACACCGATGTAAAATTCCGTACACCCCTGATTGCACCAAAATAACGAATTTATTCCTTACTTAGCGTTCGTTTACTTTGTTTTATTCCCGGGAATAAAATTGAAAAAAAATCTTATGACCAACTTCCACTGCACATCTTTCAACACCGAAGTTGCTGTGTATTGTCAAATATTATCTTTCTTTTTTTTTTACTTGTTGAAAATTTGAAAATTTTTATTATTTGTAGAATATTGGAGAATTTTTTTTCTTCACTTGGGGTTTTTTTTTTATTGAAATTTAATCTAATTTTATTATTATTATTATTATTATTATTTCAAAAATTTTAATTTCCATAATTTTGGCAAAATGTTTTGGAATTTTTTGTCCATATCCAATATACTCTCATTTTCAGTGACAATCTCATCCGGAACATACATGACACATTTTGCCACTGGACGTTAAGCAACCAACAATGAATCATTTAGAATTGTCCGTTTATAAGTTTAAAAATCATAAAGAGGCTAAGGTTTCAACTCCATCAGGCAAAGTTGACCTTAGATGGATTTGGCTAATTTTTAATTTTTAGGTCCTTTTAGTCATATAGCATAAAATTATGCTGTTTTTATTTTTTTATTTGATATTCCAAATGTTATTGTAATTTATTAATTTTTATTGGGGGGTGGGGGGCATCTTTTAGTAGAATATTTGGGTTTATAGTGAATTTTTCTGATGGTTTACTCCTTTTCTTTAGTTTTCTTGCTCCTATGTTTTTTCGACACTGTAATATAATATCAATCATAAAATATTATTGACTATAAAAACAAAGTCAGCATGCAATGAATTTTAGGTTAAATACAACGAAATTGTTAGTCTTTTGTGCTCAAAACTTGTTTGCAAAATAACATGGACGGTCATTAATCTATCATAATTACGAAATAGCACTTAATTGATCGGATCGCATGTTTTATCACTCGAAAAAACCCGATCTACACTCGAAAAAAGTGGACCGATTCACTCGAAAAAACACGATCTCCACCGGACACTATACCCACAGTGATGTTTACTTAAATGACAATGAAGAATTATTATTAATTTTACGTATTCAAACATGTGTCATAATCAATTAAACTACATTAAGTTTCTTGTCGTATTTTACGTTTATGATAATCATATAGGTCTTAGCAAAGTGTTTGACATATACGGCTTGGTGTTTTATTACACGCTCTCTTCTTGGGTGCAAAAACGAGGGTACTTTTGTACCCCGAATGGTAAGCAGTTAAATTTAGTTTGCATCGCTGCTCGACTATACTACATGTGCCTCTTATGGAGAAGAATAAGCTTAACATTTTTGATATCCATTTTTATTGTATTGGTATACTGCCAAGGTCAATTTATTGTTGCTTTAAATGTTTATACATCTATGATACATTACTGGTAATTTATTCTATTATAGTCAAGTTTATATTTAAACATACTGTATTGTTACTTTTATCTCATACATATGTATTTAGCAATCTGTGCGATTTTTCAGTACAAATCCACTACATAAAACAAATATGAAAATCTTGATTATGCATACATCTTTAATATAAATAAGAAGATGTGGTATGAATGCCAATGAGACAACTATCCATCCAAGTCACAATGTGTAGAAAGTAAACAATTATAGGTCAAAGTACGGCCTTCAACACGAACCTTGGCTCACACTGAACAGCAAGCTATAAAGAGCCCCCAAAAGACTAGTGTAAAACAATTCAAACAGGAAAACCAACGGCATAATCTATATAAAAAACAAGAACGAGAATCACTTATGAACCACGCCAACAAATGACAACCACTGAACAACAGCCTCCTGACTTAGGACAGGTGCATAAAAATGCAGCGGGTTTAAACGTTTATACAGGTGCCAACCTTCACTCTAACCTGAAACAGTGGTATAACATTACAATATAAAAAGACACACAATAAAATATCAATTGAAATGGCTTAACTGCATTTATAACGTTTATTTAAAACTCGTTGAAATAAGTTCGTGTGAATATCTAATTCCCATTGTGCAATGTGTTTACTGTAATTTACATTTAAACGACTTCGTTGTGATCTCGGTTTCAAAGCATGAAACCATAAGACTTTTAACTCCCAATCTTTTGAATCATATTCTTCTTAGTGATGGTGTAGAAACAATAATATGATTTTTATTATAAAAAAAAGAAGGTGTGGTATGATTGTCAATGAGACAACAATTGCTTGTTCATTTTCTTCTAGTTTATCCACTTCCTCAGCATCGCTAGTTGATTAAATCATCAAGAAATCAAAACACTCATAAAATAAAAATGTTATTTTAGATCTACATCATGTGTGCATTACTTTGCAGACAATTTTTATAAAAGACTGCTAATTGTGTTTGCTTTAGTAATCGCCATCAATAATATAAGAAAAATACACGATATAAATTTGGATAGAACTTGTTTTGTTTGGAATGTCTTGTCATTTCATTTCTCGGAAAATCATTAAACAGTCCATCAAAAGGGCAGAATTAATATATTAATTAATAAGGTTCCATAAATATGACAGCGTTATCAGAGCCTTACAAATTCCCCCAATGAAGTCAAAAATTTAATAAAAATTCAATGTCTTTTTGAAATTAACCCTGCGAGAAAAAACCAGGCAAATCTCATTTGACTATCACATTTTTCGATATATCAAAGGAAAGTTAATATAGCCAAATAGTTTCAGTCAAATATGAGCTAGAATTCAAGTCTTACTACTCCTTTTCGATACACCTTATGGGAATAGAGAATCAATTGACATTTAATCACAGTTAACTTCAAAATGCCAAGACAAAATTTGATGGAATTTTCACTGAGGAAACGACACCTAACCAACACACTGAAAAACGGCGTAACTATTGTCATATTACTGATCGTGCACATCCAATTTTAAATTGTTTAACCAGGTTTTATAGAGCCTTAGTCTCCGACATGTATAAAGCAGAATTAATTGTTAAATGTGAAATGCGGCTTTCATAATGGCAGACCTTTGATTGTTTCTGTAAAATGTATTCACAACTATATAGACTCTGGACGATATAGAGCTCGACATAATGTGTAGACAAGACTGTTGCAAAGCTAATGGTAGTCATTAATTATTATGCAAACTGGATGAAATACCATTATGTCAATTATATAATATGTTCAAAGATATATATGTTTGAAAATAACTGTTTCTCTTTATCCATTCTTGTTGGATTGTAGCCAAAAACGAATTAAATTATTAAAAGTCATCACAAACGGGCAATAACTCATATAAGGACTCGACTGACAATTTCGGCATTTTGACTTATTTGTAGATCTTGTCATACTAAATTTTTATAGATATTTGAAGTTTCTCTCTTTCTATCATAGTTGTCAAGATGATAGACAAAAGCGAAAAAATGGTAGAAAACGTTATTCAAGGGCAATAACTCCTATTATGTGTTTTCTTACAATTTTGTTAAAAATAGACAATAGGTAGATATTGATATTCTGAAGATTTCTACCTTGCCAGAATTTCTATATCTATGACAGTTAGACAATTCTTTTTACCACTATTTTTAAACATGGTGGCCATGTTGGTAGGCAGGTTAACTCATCGGATACATTTTTTTAACTAGATACCCTAAGGATAATTTTGGTCAAGTTTAGTTCCAATAGGTCCTGCGGTTGCAGAGATTTTTGTAAAAGTTAACATACTTAGACCTACGACAGATACCAAGTGATGATAATATCTCACTTGGCCCTGTGGACCAGGTGAGCTAATAAAAAGGTGAAAAATACAGCTGTGTCCGGGATTAGAGTACTTGCAGTGTTCTGTGTTCGTACCAGCAGACAACAATTTGGTAGTGGTATGATGTAAATGCTAAACAAAAGATTGAAATTGTAAATTATTCTTTATTCAAGGCTGTGGGTTCCACCTGGGACATAATATATTGACAGTATATTGCCAATACAATAGTCCTAGGATCCACATTTAGTCAAATAGTAGACATATAGTAATCATAGCATAATGCCATCACAGCCTAATAAAGCATCCTCTGAAAATTTGAAAGTCCCATATTGTATTGGCTAACTGAACAGCACAAAAAAAAACAACATCAAATGTTGTTTCATCTTGGCTTCTTGTAAGTGTTCTACAACTTATCCTTCTGTCTTGTTTTTACAAGTTTTTTCATGCTGGGGGCCCTTTATAGCTGACTATATAGTATGGGTTTTGCTAAGTATTGAAAGCTGCACAGAGACCTGTAGATGTTGACATCCTCGTCCATTGGTGATATGTGGATAGTTGTCTGATTGGCTTCTTGCAAGTGTTATCCTGCAAGCTAGCTCATTCAAAAACAGACAAAGCTCATCTCTCTATTACAAATCAGAGTATCTTCATATAACATGTACATGTTGTTGTCCTGAATATGCATGCAATATTTGTCACTAAACATTGAGAATTAAAAAATAAATCTATAAATCAAGCTGTGCCACCAATCACACTTCCATTAATTTTCCTTATGTTGGTTATTTTTTTCTATTCTTTTCTTCAGATTAGGCTAGAGGTCATTTTAATGTATCTACCTAAATCACACAGCAAAAAAAATCACAATTATGTTTTAATTCCTTTATAGAGTTAACAATCATTTATTGTCAATATATTGTGTTACAGAAAAACAATGTTTGCCAATAAGCATTAGGGTTTCTAATGCCAATTTAAGAATCCCTATTCTAGATAGAGTCTGTACCTAAATCAAATTCATATTTTTTACTTTCATAAACTACACATTGAAATTGTAATCTTTTTGTGGCTTGTGAAAACAGGCTTTTGCTATTAAATTAAGAATATTTTTCAATAGCTGATGAAATATAAATTTTACATGTTTCATCTTTTTTTCCTGTATGTTTCTGTAATTAATTCATAGAGGTCCTTATTTGGTGCAAAGGTTACTGCTGGGTTTCAAAGGTTGTGAATAAGTTGAAGTGAAAATTTGTGAAAGATGATATAATTATACTTTACCAGGATTTACAAACCCTTACTCAAAATCTGAATTTTACTAGTCCTCTGCAACCAAAGCTTCTTTTATAATATTTAAGTTTTTCTCTTGTATTGTTTAGGACACATCCTAAAGCAGGGGTGGATCAAGGGTCTGAATAAAAGGGAGAAGGCATAATTGTCAAAAATGGTAAATATAGCCAAAACACTTTCACCTTTAACAAACTTTATTTTTTCAGATCAATGGGGGAGAGGGGAAACACCCTGTATACCCCCTAAATCTTCCACTGTCCTAAAGTTGGACCAATATCTGAAAAACTCCAAAACAAATTCTGAATAAAGTGGCAGATAACAAAGCAATTTCATACATCACGAAAAAATACAACATTTGATTGTCATCTGAAAGACAGAGGGAATAAGAAGACCTTATTCTTAGTGGAATGTTATAGGGGAAATTGTTCTGGTCAGAGAAAAGTTCTTGCAGAGCAACAATTCATGCTTCTATGTAAGGTGTAATTGTCAATTAAATATGATTATTGGTCAGATTTTTGTTATGGCTAGCTTCCACCAAAACTGATTTATCAATCTAAATTCATTCCGGAATTCAGGTGTGTTGGCAAGAATTGCTTAATTCCGTTGTAACTCACATAAATGTGGCGCTTTTTGAATAGATGTATATTTCTTATTCCCTAAGAATTTCACATTTTGTAAATCTAATAGCCATATAATAGCTTTTACATATCTTTTCCTTTTTTTTATTAAGTCAATTAACATAATCGACTGATTCATACAAGCTCTATACTAAACATTTTCCAAAATTTTCTAAAATATATTTGAATTCTAATCTATGCAATTTTATTATATTTTGGATTCTATTATTTTCATTGGCACCAATTTTTGTGGATTGAGAAAAAAATATATTTTCATGGATACTTGCCTTCGTGGTTTCGGAAAATTCTGCATACAAGCCAACAGGATCTTGTATTTTGAGAAAAAAATTAAATTGGCATACCATTGAAAAACACAAAATTTAGAACCCCATGAATAATAATGAATTCACAATATAAAGATAATAATTAAAGACAATTAAGATTAATAACTTTATGCCTATAGCTTATTCATTGATTCTTAAAATTTTTAATTTTGTTTATATTAATTCAACCTGAATTTAATAACTGACCTTCACCTTTATTATATATTTAAGCTGAAAAAGTAACTAATAAGTACTGACAAAAATACTAATAGCATAAATGGAACATATGTCAACCAATTTTCTACCAGATTGTCAAATCTGTACTACATCTATAAAAGAGCAGTCCCCCCAAATACACACCCAACCCAAAAAGCAAGGTGTTGTACCAAAAATTACTCAAATGAAACTTTAGTTAATATATAGGCAACATTAAAACAATCAAGTTTGTTTTACCTCAGCAATGTAAAATTTATTACTTGTAACTTATACAATTTTTGTAAACAATTGATTAAATTCAATGCATAATGACCAACTGCAAGAAATTAGGTTGACACATGTTCATGTATGGCTTATACTGTAGGATATCACACATTTTCTCTCCATCTAAGAAACATGCAGGAGGTTTTAAGGCCTTTTATTATTTCTATTTTGTTAAGAATACAGAAACTTACTTCTGATTTTTCATTTTAACAGCTACAAATCTATAGAAAATACATAGGGGTGATTACTCCATCTTCTTTCCATGAAATTTTGCATGAATCCAAAATGGGACTATAATTTCAACATTGAGACAGATATAGATAATGAGTATAGGAAATTTCTATTGGGACTAAATCAAAGACCAGTCAATATGACCACAGACTATTGATTTTGATAATGTCACAAAATTCTCCAGTTGTCATGGCAACATCAATCTCCAGTACATCCTAATAATCTGTCTATTCTTAATTCTTTGTAGACTAATCTAGTAAGGCACTGTAAAAGAAAATAAAATCAAAGATTATAGAAAAAAAGCTTTCAAAATTGTTTTACACAATTAAAAATTGATCAAAATCCCAACGAGACACATTTCTAGATTTAAATAGCCAATGATTAGAGGCTAATTTTTTTTTTTCATTCATTGACATTTCTACCTTGAGTCATGGAACTCTTGACTGAAGAAGAGGAGCCTCATATTCTGTTTTTAACTGAAATACATGGATGCCCATTGCAGCAGCTAACCAGAATTTCAGAAGACTAGGAAAAGAATATCTTCAAAAACATGCTTAATAAAGAAACTTGACATCAGAGTATGGGATACAAAATCATAAATCAAAGGACAGACAATTCATGGAAAATGAGAAAAAAAAACAAAAAATAACAAATAACTATCCATTAAACACTTATCAGAAAACTGAAGCTTGAGCAACAAAAACTTCATCAAAAACTATGTGCTCTGTAATGGTAGGTAGGTCCTCCTAAACTAGTGGTATCCAGGATGTTACTCATAGAATAGAGAATAGAAACAGGGAATGTGTCAAACAGACAACAACATAACCAAAGAGCAGAAAACAGACCAAGGCCACAAATGGGTCTTCAACATAGAAAGAAAATCCTGCATCTGGAGGCAGACTTCATGTTAAGACATGTATTTTGAAGTCATAATATGGACTAAACAAGAATGTGTCCATAGTACATGGATGCCCCACTCGCACTATCATTTTCTATGTTCAGAGGACCGTGAAAATGGGGTCAAAACTCTAATTTGGCATTAAAATTAGAAAGATCATATCATAGGGAACATGTGTACTAAGTTTCAAGTTGATTGGACTTCAACTTCATCAAAAACTACCTTGGCCAAAAACTTTAACTTGAAGCGGGACAGACGGACGAACGGACGAATGGACTGAAGGTGCAGGGTCAAATAATCTACATGGAAATGAGAAATGCCAATGCTAAAACAACTGCATACCAAAGACCATTATCATAAATTTAGAGATTATATGCTAGCTAATGTAAATTTGCATGGTGTAATTAAATCCATAACTATCACTGGAGATTTGTTCCCAATGACAAGTTCAGGTTTTTTTAACTGTTTAATGCATCATACATAACTTACCAAGAGAGCTAGAAGGTCGGAGATTATCAACATTATAAATACATCATTCCATACTGGTATCAATCCAGCTAATAATGGACCAATGGCAGCACCTGTTAATATAAAGAGGAATAACAATGATTAACCATTCCACCAATGGCAGTACCTGTAACAAATATACAGAGGTTAATATGATACATAATTCAATATTATTAATATCAATCGTGTTTAATAATAGTTTGGGAATTTGTAAATCATCGCAGGCAATGGCAGCCATTTTTTTATTACCTGGTTTGCATTCTGCACAATTCTGTGATGAAATGCTTGCGATTTTAACAAATTTGAAGTGACAGAATACAAATTTGATACACCAGCATCACTATAAAACTAGTTTGAATGACATTTTATTGATAATATCAGAAATTATTAGGATAATAGCGAGTCCGTTTTTAACACATGTCCGTTTCTGTATCGTATCTTTATTAACTATGGCACGACGATAAAATCGACTACAATCAGGTAGTGTCAAGTCCCGTCAATATATATGTTCCTGATCCAGCTTATAATAGATTGTTGGCAGCAGTCCTTGTAAAAATATAAATGATTAAAATTGATATACCATTCCAATTTGGTCCAGTTAAAAATGGACCATAGACACTTATAAATAAAAGATACAATAATAATTTCTATTAAGATAGTTTTTATTTAGGTTTTCATTAATTTTATAAACTGTTCCAATAACAAAATGTTTAGCTATCAAGGTATAAAACATTTTCCCTACAAAAAAATGTATGCATTTACCAAACAGACTTTAAAAGAGTAGGTTTAATAAGGCTAAAAAACAGCCCCTATTTCTTGCTAAAACTTAATACTAGTTTTGAATGCCTTTTATCACAATGACTAGATCAAAAATCTGTTTATTTTTGTAAATTTAAGTATCAGCATTCTTTTTATGAGGTCACAGTTAGCATCAATTTAAATATCCAACACACTAATTAAATGAAAACAATTAATATATGTATGTGACAAGGATTGCATGTTTTCCTCTGGCTTCCTTGACCAATAAAAACTGTCCTCCATGATATAGCCACGGTTGCTGAAAGTGGTGTTATACACCAACAATATGACCAACATATTCAAATGCCCAACAGCACTTACAGTAACTTACCTATACTTCCTGTACCATCAATAACAGCTGTTACAGTTGCTAAAGCTTTTGTATTGCCTTCTAAAACTTTATGTGTTCCTAAATCAGCACTGACTGCAGTTGTAATTAAGGCATATGGACCATTCACTAAAGTTCCACATGCAAATGACAGTCCTAAAAGGAAACACACGAGTGCATGTGAATATACAGTACAACAGAAAATAATTCAATTTTGGATGAAACATGTCTTCTGAATGGCTGAAAGTTTTTTGTCTATCAACTCATAGACATAATTTTGTCATGTGACTGTAATGTCATCAACGTGATTTACTCCTTAAAAATGGAATTTAGAATTAAATTATAAGGAAAGATTGTAATATATTTTCTGTCTATTTGATGCTCATTCATGCGTAATTTCAAATTTGATTCGCATTAACTGATTCAGCATTCGAAACATTTATGTCCGAATGTAAATTTTAATACGAATTGCAATGCGCCTCAAATTCGCTTTACTGTCTGAATGACGTTAACTTTTAAATCGCATTATCAATTAATTAATTATAATTTAAAACAAACAACCATTTATGAGCCAATAACATCTCCAAACTTGCTGTCTTGATCTTATATGGCATTTATTGGAATCATTTTTCCTACTCATTTTAATAACAGAGCTATGGTTTTCCTATTTTTTCCAAGAACATTTTTTTCCTGTTATTTTGCACAAACCATTGTTTAACGAAGAAAAAAATGACGTCATTATGGTTTTCGCCTATGATATTTTCGTTGACACAATTATCGATGTTGCGTTTTTTAATATTAAAGAAATAATGATACTGTTCTTTTAATTTGTCCATCCAAGCACTTATTTGTTCAGGTAATTCGAATTACAATTTAGAAAGTGTCCACACCACAGTTTAATTCGCATTGAAGCGAATTAACTAATTTGCATTAACCAAAATGTATTTCTAATGCGAATTGGATAATGCGAATTAGCCAATTTGATTCGAGTTAAAAAAAAAGAAGAATGTGTGAACTTGATTAGCGAATTCAATTCACATTAGATTCGAATTCAATTTGAATTAAATGTACGTGTGAACGAGGCACGAAAGAACCTCAAAAATGTGGTGCACACTTTTAAATAACACCCTACACAGGTTATTCAGTGTGCACCACATTTTTGATGCTATTTCTTCATAGACAGAAAAAATATTACAGTCACTCCTTAAATAACAAACATAAGTATGATCTAAATCAGATATTCAGTTGAGATTTAAAATAAGTTGTTGACACAGATATATGTCTTGCCTGTATTTATTTTTGATGATATTATGTAAATGTTGAAATTAAAAATCCTATATTTCTCATCAGACTTAAAATAATTACCTATAGAATGGGCTAGACTTAAACTTCCATATAAATTGTAAATATACATCTGAAATTAGTAAAAGAAAAATATTACTAAAAGAACAGCTTTCTATAAAATGTCTACTGAAACAGCACATATTTTATTTGTCCAAGGGTAATAACTCTATGATTTTACATATTAAGTGCATAGATGACTCATGTTTCCAAGACATTGCCAATATGAACCTTTGATATAATTTTTAATTAACATCAGACAAGCAATGAAGGATGAGAATGCTTACAATGCAATTTTCTATCTAGATTTTATTTCCAACTCATGAATTGTTGATCACAGCTGTTTTTCCAACTTGTCTGAAACATTGCTGGTACAAAACTTTCATATATAAATTTCAGAATAAAAGAAGAATGAGTCTGAGGACACAAATTCTGCCGCTCAAGCTTCAAACAAATAAAAATGGGATGGACCGACAGAAGAGCAGAATGGCATAAGGTCAAGGGTAACACTTAATGTCCCCGTCGTCTAAGGCGGGGGCATAAAAACCTGACAATAAATGTAAAGATTTTTTACAACGCAATTTTCTATATAATTTGCAGTTCAAAAGGGACATAACTCAAATGAAAATAGTATATCAGCACTGATTTTGGAACTCATCCAAGACACTGCTGATATGACTGCAGAAAAATTTAACAAGAAATGAAGGAGTGAGAGTGCTAACAATGCAATTTTCATATTATTTACATTTCCAAGGAGTATCATTCCCATCAAAATATATATGGTTGGTATATCCTGATTTTTTTTACACTTTCAAGACCTTAGAAATAAATTTGATTAAAATCTGACAAAAAATGTAGGTGTGAGAGTTAACAAAAAATGTGGATAGTGTCCACATGTGGACACAAATGATGCCCCCGCTTGCATATCATATAGTTATAAAGGAACATAACTGAAGAACGGTAAAAGTGACGCTACCCAAATTTGAACTTGATCTGAGTTTTGTGGTAATAAGCATTGTGCGTAAGTCTCATAACATTTGGTTGAGGCAAACTAAAGTTAGAGAATTGAAAATAAATTTTTTGCAATTTCCATTTATAAAAAGGCATAACTCAAGAACCGTAAAAGTGATGCCATCAAAATTCAAACTTGATCTGTGTTATGTGGTAATTAGCATTGTGTATAAGTTTCATAGCATTTGGTTGAGGCAAACTTAAGTTAGAGAACGGAAACCAAAAATTTTGCAATTTTCCATTTATAAAGGGGCATAACTCTAGAACGGTTAAAGTGACGCCACCAAAATTCAAACTTGATCTGTGTATTGTGGTAATAAGCATTGTTTATAAGTTTCATAACATTTGGTTGAGGCAAACTTAAGTTAGAGAATGGAAACTAAAAATTTTGCAATTTTCCATTTATAAAGGGGCATTACTCTAGAACGGTTAAAGTTGACTGTCAGATGGATACACAGCCATATTTCTATGTCAGCTCTTCATTGCAAGGAGGGGGAAATAACAGTTCATTATATAATGTATTTGCCGTAAAGATAGGATTGCAACATTTTTAAGTGATGTTGACTTCAGGTGAATCAGCTGTTCTATTTAGACTCTTTTGGTTTTTAAGCTCTGATGTTTAATGTATCAGACTCATGTGTACCTGAAAAGGTTTTTCCAGAGGAACATGTTGTTAGCATGATTTTCATGTCATACAGCAGTGAATAGGAATATTAGAGAACACTTAAACTGGAGCATTACTACAATATGACAAGTTAGGTGGATTTAAACATATATAAACAGTCTATATCTAGACATATGTAGTTATATTTTATATCTAGATATATGTAGTTATATTTTGTTTTGAATTTTTGTCCAAAAAAAATCAAATTTTAAGTCCTCACTTGAGTTGAATGGTTTATAAAATTTGAACAATACTACCAGCTTACATCCTTCAACTAGAAGTTTCTATAATTATTGTATATTCAATGTGATCTAAGCAAATAATTTTGTACAAATATCATTGTTGGCAAGGGCTAAGAGGTAATAACATTCTAAAACCACTTACCACAGGGGCAGCAAGTACTAACATAACAGCACATGTGGTTGCTCTGCCACCAAAATTATCTGATATCAATCCTGCTGCTATGCCACCCACAATGCCACCAACGTCAAACAGTGTGGATACATCAGCAGACTTTTCTGCATCATAGTGAGCTGGAATAAATAAACAATTAAATAATTCACATGGTAACATATATATTATGCATTAAGGATGTTTGCTACTCTGTTTCAAAAATAACAAGCTTTTTAAAAGACTTCAGAATCCATGAATAGGTACATCTGTGAGTCTGCACTTAATATAAATATATTGAGAACTTTATCATGCAGTTGTTTACAAAGCTAAAGCAGTACGTCATATCAAAATGCAATTTAGCTCACACTCCTAGAGTGGGTAGTGGTATAATAGTAATAAGCATATGGAGTTTAGTGTGACGTCCATTATCACTGAACTAGTATACATATTTGTTTAGGGGCCAGCTGAAGGACGCCTCCGGGTGCGGGAGTTTCTCGCTGCATTGAAGTCCCATTGGTGGCCTTTGGCTGTTGTCTGCTCTATGGTCGGGTTGTTGTCTCTTTGACACATTCCCCATTTCCATTCTCAATTTTATATGGTAAGATGTTGTATATTATCAGCTTACCTGTATGTTCTATATAATTTGGAAGCCAAAACAGGAATGTGTAACTGACTAGTTTGGCACAAAACAAACACAGTGAAAATTCTGCTACACCCTGTAATTTGACAAAAATAAATGTTTGTGCATCCATTATTCAGATTCAATTTATTATATATGCAAAATGTCATAAGGACTTCAGTTTGTGTTATTTTGCTCTGTGTTTTCAAATTTGTACATGAAAATGCTTAAATGTTATTTGTGTGACTTTGTGACTTTGTTACTTCTTTACTTTGTACTTGAGAAATTATACATGTCAGGATAATATGAATGACCTTGCCACCTACCAAATTCCAAGGGTCATAATTCTGTGTAAAGTAGATCATCAATGACAAAACATGAAATGTATCTATGCATTATAACTAATGAACCAAATATCAATACCATATCTACAGGAATGATGAAAAAAAGTCAGAACTCTTGCTTGATTTTATAATTGCAAGGCAAGTGACAGAATTATGGATATGGGTAACACTACCTTATATGATTTAAAGCAATTCTGCCAAGTTTCATTCCATTCCTATTCATACTGTTAACAATTTTTAATTAACAAACATATGGGATGGGCAAACAGACATAAGAACAAATTGACAGACCGGACAAGAACAATATGTGTCCCCACATAAGGTGGAGAAACAAGAATACTTACTGGTATAAAGAATGCTCCCCAGATTGTGATGGGTTTCTCCTGCTTATGTTTGATTAAGGCCTGCGTTGAGGCATCAATACTACTATAAGATTGCTGCAATGTCACAAAGAAAATTTTAATGTAAGGAAATATTAATTATTGCAATTAAATCTATTGTTGCATAATCTGACCAAAATCAAACATTTTTAAACTTGTAATTTAAATATCAAAATTCTATCTTTTCCCATCTGGTGTATTATAAATTATATTTTTTTCCTTAATTGGTAAATAAACATATGATGTCCATTTTATGTCCTATAACTGTTAGTTGGATGAATGCTTACTATCAGTCCACCAGCAGTTACCAACCTAGCTGAGGAACCGTAGCTCATAGGTCCTTATGATATTTTTTTACCATTTGCGGACCGTCTGCAAATTGTCAAAAAATATCTTAAGAACCTATGAGCTATGGTTCCGCAGCTATTACCAACCCAGGATTAGTTAGAAATGTATTATGCTGATTCAGTTGTAAGACTTGAATCCCATATTTTCTGATAGCTAATTTTGCATTATTATAATTCTTATCTTTTTAAAAACACTCCTTTTTTTTCACTTTTTATCAAGTTAAAGGTTTGATTTAATCAAAGCAGATATCAATTACAAAAGTTGAAGCTTTCAAAGTATATATAATTTGAAATACAATATTCTATTTACTATACTACGTGTTAAAAAGTAAGTCTTTGAAACTTTTAAAACTAGTAAGTAAGATTATAGTATCAGTATCTATATTTATCAATCTTTAATTTTAACTAAATTGATAATTATCTAATTTTCTACAAAATGAGATTTCTATTTTGGAGAACTACATAATTAATTAAGAACTTTAAAACTATTCTAAATAAAGAGAAAAATATGGTTGAAAAAATGCTACATGCAATTCTTTTTCATATATAGATAACAAAATGAAAAACACAAAACTAAAGGAAATCTAAAAGATTTGTAATAGGAAACAATGTTACTGATCTTTAATTATTCAACTTTTATGCTAAGAATAAAATATTCAGAGGAGAACAAATCTACAAGTTGCATTGTTCCATGAATAAGTTTAAAGCAACGATTTAGTTTCATATTTTTGCGGAAAATGAAGACCACTTTTAGCAGTCAAAATTAATGAAAAAGGGGTGTGTAAAAAAATTAGAGGATGATATTTTCAATATAAGGGATTTTTTCATCCCCCACCTTGCCAAACCTCAGTAAAAAGGAGAGATTTCAAAATAAAAAAAAAATTAAAACTTTTATCCAGAGAAAATTTTACATGAATACCTCTGAGGAATATCATAATTAAAGATCAGTACTACACTTACACAAATCAAGCTGCTAGGATTTATAAGGCAATATTGAAGGAAATCTGTATCAAAATGCACAATTTCTAAAATTAGTAAAATACGTAAATGTTTAATTCACATCCACTCTAATTTAAAACCATGCTATATACATTTTACCTCATGATATAAATCATCTCCATCTTCTGAAGACTATTAGAAGAAGGAAAAATAAACTCATTTAAATTTCAAAGTGAAAATCATTCAAAATGATAATTAATTGCTGTTGTTTGGAAAAGAAAATTGCTACTGAAAAAAAAAAATAAACATAGGTTCAATTTAGATGACAAAAAAGGTCAACAAGAGGAATTCTGATTTCAACAGCTTTCAATTTTTAAAACCGCTTCTGTAAATTAAATGCTATGATATAATTCTGCACTTGCAAGAAAAGAAGATAAAAATGATAGGTCCAGTAATTTGTTGTTCATCTGTTTAGGTAAAAATTAAAAAACAGAATTAAAAACCAATTGTTCAGAGAACAATTGAAGGTCTTTCCACAGCAATTTTTAAATTTATTGAAAAGAAGCTAGTTCGTGTTTACTCAAAGTTAAAATTGGCATCTTATCATCAGTTTCTTCATACTTATGCGATAAGTAAGGGGTTTCTATATACTTCTGAGTGAAATAAGGGAGATAATTAGCTACTTCGGGTGAAGTAAATGTCACTTCCGGTCTCATATAATAGTTTCTTTCACACTGATTCCAAAATATATAGTTTCTATATACTTTTGTTTGTAAACCAGGAGATAATTGGCCACTTCCGGTTTATCGAAAGTCATTTCTAGTCTTCAGTGATAAGTTAATGTATTAAAATTACAAAATATATGGATTCTGAGTACTTTTCCATGAAGAAATTGCACAAATGGCTACTTTTCTCAAGGTCACTTCCGGATGTCATTTTTCAAGGTCATATCTCATCCAACCTTTTGTAAAAAGTCATATGGCTTTATAATGAACCAAGTTGAAGTAATAATCAATTAACCTTATAATTGGACATTTCAGGGGCACTTACTCCTATAAGATGCCATTAGATTGTTTCAGACCAAATGTAACATATCTTCATTACAATAAAGCAAACATTTTGCACTTGTTGTTTCATATATATCTTTAAAAGTGTTTGAGAAAATGCAAAAACAAGGAAAAGTCAAAATAGAGAGACTTGACCTTGACCTCATTTTCTAAGTTAGGACCTAGGGACCTCAAATAAAAAGATTCCAGGGTTATACGGTTAACGGTTTATGAGTTAAAAAAAACATACCGACAAATTTATTTGGTAAAGGTAGATAACTCCTTTAAAATTTCATCGAATCGCTTCGATCCAATTAGCCAAAAATTCCTGAGGATGTAACGAACAATTTAGAAAAGAATTTTGTCGATATCTTTTTTTGTTACGAAGGAGAATCACACACTTGATAAACAGTGAATAGGGAGATAACTCTTACAAATAAAATTGTTCGGCTTAGAATGGGTGAAAATAAAAAGCGCATAAACTGTTTGATACTATATTAGAAATATCTTAGCGACATATTGCGAAACAAAAATTTTAAGCGATAACAAAATTTGGCGGAAGAAAAAAATAATAATCAGAACAAATACAAAAGGTCTTAAGACCTAATAATAAACTCTAATAACACATGTTTGGCAATGTCAGAAATCATAGGTTAGTTAATCAACACAAGCTGGTTATGTTTCTGTTTAAGTTTAGATTTACCCTCCTTGTGGTATTCTTCCATTAATTCAATTCTGCTAAAAAGAAACTTAAATATTTCAGGAAATAATATTTCAAGACCTCTCTGTGAATATATGAAACCACAGTTAGTATTACTGGTAATCATTTCAGTGATGTTCTGCAGGGATGCAGGTTTCTGGAAGTTACCAGTTAATCGTAGTTTAAAGGCATCATAAGCTGAGGTTACTTAGAGAAAAAATGAATTCAAATCCTTCTCTGGAATATATTGTGACTAAAATCTTTAACATTAGTATGACCAAATATAAGCAGTAAAGTTTCTGTGTAAAAATATAGGTAATGAAGCAAAGCAATGGACAGAAAACATGATAATCATTCTTTATAAAATCTAATGTGATATGATATTTCACATAATAATATATGGTTTGTAGGTCTGTGTATGTGTGTGTGTGTGCATATCTTTATAAGTATTCTATATTCATAAGTGAGAGGAAATCTGTTTCAAAATCAATTAACGTGGTTGAAAATTGACAATGTGCAATAGGTGTGTTTGATATGAAATAAAACACATAGTTACTTCAACATCATAGCGATGTAATGGACTTGTTTCACTCTTTAATAAAAAATATAATAAAATTAGTACTATTTTTTACTAAAATTACTTGCAGTCAACAATGTATCACACAAAGGCATAAACTGTGGATTTCTATATTCTTGTGGTACCAGTTTTAATGAATTGATGAAAAAATTGTACATGTATTTTTATGGAAACTCGATTTTATAGTGGTGACAAATTCTGTATTTGACTATTTTAAAGAATTTTGAATTTCGTTGTTTTCTTCAAAAAATGAAGGGGCCTCGGTGGCCGAGTGGTTTAAGTAGTTACTACTGTAATCACTAGCCAGTCAACACTGAGGTTGTGAGTTCGAACCCCGCTCGTGCGGGTGCACTTGACTCCAATCTTAATTGACTAGGATTGTCAGTTTTCCTATCGAAGGTCGGTGGTTTTCTCCGGGCACTCCGGCTTCCTCCACCAATAAAAAAATAGCCGCCACGAAATAGCCCAAAAGCGGTGCTTAAAAGTGGCGTTAAAACACCAAAAATCAATCAAATCAAATCAAAAAATGAAAACAATGTAATAAATTTCATCCGTCAAATGCGCTTTTCTGGATTTACCTTCATCAAGGATGCTCAAAGCTGAAAATTTGAGAGCCAAGGATGTTTAATTCATGTTTTAACATTTAGCCATGAAATACATTGCAATTAGTACCCCATCAATAATACTTAATCCACAGTATCTGTTAAGAATACACTTATCACTAGCTATGCACATAAAAACAGATAGAGTAAAATAATAATTAGATATAATCACCCTCATCTGAAACATAATCGGAAAATAGAACAAGACTAGCAGACAGAACAACGATCATTATAGCACCATACCCAGTTAATGAACTAGCAAACTACCAAGTTTTTCTTACTCCATTTTTAGCCATGTTTGGGTTGCCATTGGTAGAGATAATTATTGCGGGTTTTTGTGAGTCCGATGCATAATCATTGGCAGGTTTTAATGAGTCTACTGTATGGTTTATTGCAGAATTTGATGAGTCAACTATGTCAGTGGTTTGTACAGAAACAACTGGACCATTTATTACATCGCCATTAGCTGAATTTCCATTGATGATTTTACTGCTGTTATTTAGCGCCCCATAATCAACATGCACACTTATAGTTGTTAAATCAATCTTTTCCTTTACAAAACAATAATATTTTAACTTCATCAGGTATTCCATGATTTTTTTATGTTTACTACTACATTATATTGAATTGTACATGACTTACAAGTAATTGTTTTTGCATTATTTTGTTTTTGAGAAAATGGATGCTTGAGCTTTTGCTTTTGATAAAGACTTTTTTAACGATTACAGATGCTGATTCTCTGGAGCAACAAGAAAAATTAAATGGCTCTACAAGCAAAAATTACTACAAATTAAGGAGGGGTGTCATCTTAAATTCCCCCAAAAAATTAATTATTCTTTCCTTGATACTGATAAAATTAACTATTAACTCCCTAGTCCAGATAGGTGTAAATTCTAAATTCCCGCAAAAATAAAGGCCCAATCCAAAATTCCTGCAAAAATAAAATCAGGATCCTGACATGCCATAAAAGTTCCTTCAACCCCTCATTAAGACTGTTAAACCATATTTGAGGAATATGTTCTGTTAGTATGTTAATATATAGTTAAAGTTATGTAGTAGTTAGTATGTTTATATATAGTTAAAGTTATGTACAGTAGTAGAACCTTATTTAGAAATATATGTTTTCACAAATGAATTTACTGCTAGCCAAGACAAATAATTTGGGTATTTCCATTCTGAGGAACAGGAAACTGATACTTGTAGGGATGTTATGTTTTTTTCTTATTTGAAATAAAGCTGTGATTTTTTGTTACTATGTAAAATCTGCTCTAAGTAACACTTTTGTTCTGTTCTTGTCCAAAATTTCTGATATTCTATGAAAGAATTTGCAACAGAAATAATTTCAAAAGGTTTAAAACAGACAATTTTTTTCCTTTTAATATCTAGATAAGCAAAAAAAATATATTTATAACTGAAATTTTAAAATTTCAGCAAAACTATCCTGAGGAACTGAAAAAGAGTATGAAATGTTTATATTTTTGTTTTTCTTTTTGAAAGAACAATTAGCTATGTATATGTTGTGTACAAGTTATCATTTTGTACAAATTATAATTTGTACAAAAAAATTGTACAAATTATAATTTGTATTTTGACTTTGTACAAATTGTAATTTGTACAAAAAGTGCCTGTACAAATTACAATTTGTACAAAATTTGACTAAAATTCACTTATAACTTGTACAATAATTTATTGTATGGATTTTGTTATAAAAAAAGCATTGATACACACTATAGAATTTTTATTCAATGACCACACAATAAACCTTACTTAAAAAATACAAAAAATAGTTCTGTATCATTTGTTTGAGCATGTGAGTGAATTATGGCATCTTGAATTGCACAACATCTTTTGCTTTTTACATTTACATTTAGAAGTGCTGCACATCACTTTGTATTTACATTAAAAGAACCCCTGAACACCAGTTTTTGAAAGCATTTTAACTGCTTCACGTAGCGAAAGTTGAAGCTCAGAATCCATTGCTGCGAATAAAGGTGTATCTTTAGCAGCTTAAATTTGATTTCTCGACAAATATCCTGTTCAAATTTCTTTAGCTGTTCCTATGCAGTGCCCAAATTCTCCAGATTCAATAATTACACCTAAGATATTTCGAGGATCAGTTGGGGCACGATCATATTGAGGAATTGGTATGATGACAATCATGATCCCCCACAGCAAGTTCTGATAATTTCCGTTTCGTTTCCTTAGTTAGATATTCGGCTTGGATCTGTTGGATAGACACCGCACAATTCCTGGCACGTATGATTGGTGATTCAAAGTCAGTATCATCCTGATTGTCACTCGAGCTAATTTCTATTATACTATCAGAATTGTCACTGGGGCCAATTTCTATTATACTATCAGAATTGTCACTGGGGCCAATTTTTATTGTACTATCAGAATTAACTGGCATGCATGTATCAATTACATTTCCTGTCTCCATCTGGGTATTTTTGTATTTTGTAAATAAGGTTTATTGTGTGGTCATTGAATAAAAATTCTATAGTGTGTATTAATGCTTTTTTTATAATAAAATCCATACAATAAATTATTGTACAAGTTATAAGTGAATTTTAGTTAAATTTTGTACAAATTGTAATTTGTACAACCACTTTTTTTTCAAATTACAATTTGTACAAAGTCAAAATACAAATTATAATTTGTACAATTTTTTTGTACAAATTATAATTTGTACAAAATGATAACTTGTACACAACATATATATACAAAAGAATTCTATAACCAATTGGTAATAATCACATGATGACCTGCTGTATGGAAAACACATTTTTTTTTCTATGAACACGTTTTCTAAATAAATATAATTTATAAAGTTTTAATAATATACCAAACCAAAAAATAGTTTACCGAATTATTGAGATCATAAAGCTGAAACTTAGAAAAAGACAATTGTTTTCATAAATAGAACATAAATTGACTAAGTTTAACCTCACTATATTTCTATTGGCCTGTCTTTTTTTATCATATGTCTGTGTCAAATAAAAATCGACCTTATGCAAATGAGTATTAATACACCTGTTAATATAAAAAAGAAGATGTGGTATGATTGCCAATGAGACAACTCTCCACAAGAGACCAAATGACACAGAAATTAACAACTATAGGTCACCGCACTGCCTGTTAGCCTATTTCGAGTTGAAAAATCTCTATGCAAAGTCTATAACTGTTTGAAAATTGAGTTGATATAAGGACCCTATAAAACAGACCAAAATTCATCTTTTATTTCGAATATGAATGTTCCAAAATCAATCAAAGTCTTACACATACACTTGCATTAGGTCGATTTCTATCCATCACAGCTCATATCTTTTTGTTTGTTTGTCATTTTAATACGGAATTTACTGTTGATGAGATCTTTGATAGGTGTTTTGTGTTGTTTAGTTGCTGTCTCATTAGATTTTACCTCATCATCTCCTTTAATTCATAAATTTTCAATTCTTAAGAATGAACAATTTCTTTTAGAAAAAAATAATATAGGAATTCCTGCATGAACACCTATTGTTTCTGTTTAAGTACAGTCAGGATTTGTTTACATTGTATAATTGTCATTTATAATTATGTAGGTATATTAAGGGCATAATGTGGCAGGGGAAGATAATGACCATGAATAGAGAAATAAATTATGACATTGCCACAATGCTAAGAGAAAAACAATTTCATTCAGAAAATGAGGTTGTCCATATATATATACGAAAGAACATGGATGCCCATTTTTTTCTTTGCAGGTTGAAATGTACTGACTGAAGAATGCCATACCAAGATTTAAAGTAAAACTAGACAAAGTGATGCCCCCGCACTCCACTCTGAAGTAATTATTTTATTACAAAGTCAATGTAGGACTTTCTTTGAGATATTATTGTGTCTGGGAGACACAAATGATGCCCCCCTAGATGCAAAGTGTCATTTTAAAAAATGAGCATGGGAGCACATAGGTCTATGGTTCACTGTAGGAGGAGTTATCCGGAAACGCTATGCACCTCTTATGCAAATATTTACTCCAAAAATGACAAAGTTCAACTATCTCCCAAAAGAGCAAATATTAATAAAAATCAAGACCCTGATCACATGCACACCTTCAATATATGTACAAACAGCCAGCAAAGTGAAAACTTCCTAGCGTTCAAACTGTAGGAGGAGTTATCTGGAATAGCTATGCACCTCTTATGCAAGTGTATACTCCAAAAATGACAAAGTTCAACTATCTCCCAAAAGAGCAAATATCAATAAAAATCAAAACCCTGACCACATACACACCTTCAATATATGTACAAACAGCCAGCAAAGTGAAAACTTTCTAGCATTCAAACTGTAGGAGGAGTTATCTGGAATAGCTATGCACCTCTTATGCAAGTGTATACTCCAAAAATGACAAAGTTCAACTATCTCACAAAAGAGCAAATATCAATAAAAATCAAAACCCTGATCACATACACACCTTCAATATATGTACAAACAGCCAGCAAAGTGAAAACTTCCTAGCATTCAAACTGTAGGAGGAGTTATCTGGAATAGCTATATACCCATAATGGGACAGACGGACGGACAGGGGTAAAACAATATGCCCCGCAACTGAAACTGCTTCTGATCTGTGTATATTTCTTTAGTAACTAATAAAAAAAGTCCAAACCCTTATCTGCACAAAAAATGCATGATTTAGAATAGATTAAATTTGATTGTTTGACGGTTTATTAGATAAACCGAAAGCCAACCAATAAAGCAACCTCTTCTAGAAATTATTTATTTTATATATATATATGATATGTTAGTTTAATAAAAATTTAAAAGATCCCAAATATTCAATACTTCTCTTTAAATGAACCAAAATGAAACTAATATATCTTGAAAAGTAAGTTATCAAGGTATAATTTCTATTCGTATAAGTCTATAGCAAAATTTATTGTGTGTAAAGATGTTAATGAAAATCATCAATGATGGATCTTAACTGTAGAATTTTTTTTATAAATTTTTCGGCAAAAAAAATATGGATAAAGAGACACTTAAGATAAAACTTACTGGTTCACCAGGTTCATTATTCACTGTTTTATTTGTTCCATGTTCAGCCACTACATGCTGTAAAATATAACATATTTATATTGAAATTAACATTTTTTACATGTTTTGTGTGCAGTTCTACAATCAAAATTCAAAAAAATATTTTTAAGTCTTGGTCAATAAGGAAAACGTCCACCAAGAAGACTATTGACTGGCATTTTCAAATAAGACAAAAAAAGCTTCACATAATGCTATTTGAATTAGAGTTATTTCAATTTGCCATCATGATGCAGGGCAACGTTTATAACCTCCTTCAAAAATACAAAATTGACTGACTGCTAGACTTTAGAAAAAGTCGTTTTCTGAACTATTTTCATTTGTTAAAAACCTGTATCATTCATGAATATATTTTAGTAAGAATCTATAATCAAACTTGTTTGTACCACATGTTAAATTTTGTTAAGTCAAATAATGAAATCAACTAGTCCTAATGAACTTAATTATGGGGCAAGGGAAGTAACTCCAACTCAAATTATGTCAAACAGAGTTTTTAATAAAACCAGAAATGACTCATTGGAAAACTATTTATAGCCTCTATAATATAGGTAAATATAGAGTAATCCTAAGAGAGAAAAACATCAATAAACTATTTAATTGAATTTGATCTTTCAGGAAGTGATGGATGGTAATTTAAAACATCTGAAAAACTAACTGTACAAATTCAGTTTATGGATTTTGCTTTATCTTGTTTTATTTGCTGATAATTATTAACCCCCCAATACAGATCATATCATAACATATATATAACCAATAAAACTTACAGTGCCATGTTGATCTGGCATGTCACAACCAACATCTTCTGGATCTGTAATTAGACAACTATTATTTTAGAAATTATATATATCAATATATTTTTTGTTTTTTTCTGTTTATAAATTAAAGGAAAAAAGGAATATATATCCATGAGATAGCAATCTAAAAGCACAAAAGCAGAAAAAAACATCCAGAGTTCAATAATACAAAAGTGTCGTAACCTTATGACAAGCTCAAAAATCCAAATCTAAATAATTTGTGAAAATTTAAACAATTGACTATTCAAGACTTGCAGTCAACAACAAAAACACCGAGCTATAACATAAGACAACCAGTGACAAAGTAACTGACTTGGGACAGGTAAATTAACATATGGTAGGGAATATTTTTTTGTAAGTAATCAACCCTCACCCTTTTTTTCCATCAGTAGAATAACGAACGAAATTTGAAAGAAAGTACATCAAAAATTATATTTAAAAAAAATGATTTAAAAAAAATAATTTAATCAAAGACAACACAGAAAATTGATAAAACTAAACCAAATCTAAAATATACTTAGTTAACCAAAGAATGCTCATTAACTGAAACCAAACTCAAGTTCTTAATCTACTGATACAGAAAGCCTTCTAACACTATAATATCAGCCACTGTAATTCAAATAGATTTAATACAGCATTTTCATAAATATTACAAAAAAAGACAATCTTGGGCAGCGAAATGATGTTTTAAATCATCTCCATATCCAACAGGGGTTCAAATTAGCGGTGGTCCAAGGTCCGTGACCTTCCACTATTGCAATCGAACTTTCGTTTTGGTTACTAGCTACACCCGAAGGACCTTCGATTTGAAAGAAAATAAAAATTAACTTTGCTGACCTTTTTTAACTATCAGTATCGTCATTTCAAAGCCATATTATTATTGTATATCCCTCTAGAGCTTACTTCAAATCATTTCAACTGTCAGCAAATTAAGTTTGTTAATTTATTAGAACGTAATGAAAGATGTAAATTTGTAATCCATGTATTGCATTAAAAACGTCATATTCCCTTCCAAATAGCGTCTCAAACATCGTTTATTTTTGTAATTTTTCTCGTCGGCCATTGAAATATTTGTACAGGATTCATCAGAAACGGGCCAGATATGAACGAAATCCTGATTCTTACGACAATAACTACGGACGCATGAATGGCGCAGCTGGCAGAAGAGAAGGGTGGACAGCTTTTGAGGGAGGTGGGAGACAACAAATAGGTGGGGGAGAAAAAAAGATTCTTAAAGTGGGAGGTGGGAGATAGGGGGCGGGAAGTGGGAGATGTGTTCCCCCTGTCCACCCATTCAGAAGAATATTGATCCCAAAAGCAAAAATTACGCTTACCATGCGCATTTAATACTTGATCTACTTGAATAATGTATATATTTTCATGTATATGCATTGTTTCAATTTATTAATTAAAGTTGCTCAACTCTGGGACTATTATTATACTTATATCATTATATTATGTCCTAGCTTAATTTTGTTAAATCAATATATTTTTTTAATAAGAAACACTGAATTTCATAAACATGATAACAGAGTAGTTTTTCAATTGAATTTTAATTGATATAACAACTTTTTTTCCTTTTTGGTATAAAAAAAGTTCTTTTTTATCAGTGCTAGATATTTAGTTGGTAGTTTCTAACAAGACAACTAATATAATCATTGTGCAACTTGATATGATAAACTTAAACAGCTTTGAATTGGAACTGTTACTTTAATTGTATACTTGGGTATAAATTTAACAACAATATAAAGAAAGATACATATATAGCCCTTTATGTTATAGTTTAAACCAAACATTGTAGCGCCGCGAGCAACTTTGAACACTCCTCTTTCTATGTAGCAACATTCCAGCAGCGCCTGCATACGGAGTATATATCTCCCAATTGATACGATATTCCTGGGCTTGTATTTCCTATCATGATTTCCTTGATAGAGGATTGCTGCTAACAAAAAAGCTATTAAACCAAGAGTTCTAAAATGGTGAAGTTGAAATCATCCCTTCGTAAATTTTACAGATGATATCTGATATGTTCCTTATGTCGTAACTACAGTACCATTCCCTTTTCACGAATGTGACCTACCGAATAAGACTATTTACCGGATTTTTAATAACATAAGCAACACGACGGGTGCCATATGTGAAGCAGGATCTGCTTACCCTTCTGGAGCACTTGAGATCACCCCCAGTTTTTGGTGGGGTTCGTGTTACTAAGTCTTTAGTTTTCTATGTTGTGTCATCTGTCCTGTACTATTATTTGTCTGTTTGTCTTTTTTATTTTTGGCCATGGCGTTGTCAGTTTGTTTTCGATCTATGAGTTTGACTATCCCTCTGGTATCTTTCGTCCCTCTTTCAAATCTCACCACTACTCCCTATCAGTTTCAAAAAGAGAAGTTACTTCTCACTATGATTCTGAAGAGTATGAGCCCTGAGATTATGGTATAATTGTGAATGATTGAGACAACACAACCACCCACAGTGACACCCTCCCCAATACAAAAAAATGATTATTGGAATTCATAATATACAAAACAAATACATTTATTATCATGGACATGCTATACCACAGTGACACTGACAGTGTAGTGCTTTATGTATATGGTTGCCTGGCAATATATTTGTAAACTTAACAAAACATTACATGCAGTTCTTTAAATATTTATGAAACAAGATCAGTATAACCTAACACCAAAAGCACATTAATTTTGTATCTTATTTACTGAGTTATAAAATATTTCATGTAAAATTAGGACCTAGGATTTAGGTTGTGGACCTTTCAGTTTGGAGTGTTAAAGGTCCTGGACCTTCCAGTACCAAATGTTGATTTGAACCCCTGTCCAATTTTGTTCAGCTATTTAGATTTTTTATTATTTATTTTTGACTGGTCTGCCTTTCCTTTACCTGTTTGTTAGAAAAATCAAACCTTAATATCACTGGTTGCTAAATTTCCTAGATTGCAGGGGAGGTAACCAGATTAGTAGCTTAAAGTTCATGCATTTCATGTTTTCGGCCAAAACATGTCTCTTCCATACTTGTAGATTTACCCTATTGTTGATACCCTACCCTTGATCATTTTAATGCCTTGAAAAAAATATAACTAATGAAATAGCATTTTGAGTCATTAGAATAAGCTTTGAATCCTATTTCCATTTACTTTTTTAGTCAAATTATCAGTATGAAGTTTTACTGTACATGTCAAAAATCAATACAATTTGATTCCTTCAGAATCAACAACTGAGAAGTCTTATTTTAATCAAGCAATCTTTTAAACTTACTTTTTCTTTGGCAATTTACCAACTGAGACTATCTGCCCCTGAGAAAGACAAGTCTGTAAAACCAGACAAAGGGAAGTAACTATGGGTGAAACAGTTGCATCTGCTTGCTATTTCCTTGGTAGAACATTTTATCCTCTCTGGGATTAGTCTAAATTTTCTTAAAAAGAATAGATCTTGTTGTATTTCAGAAAACTATCTACAAGCATGGCAGTTTCAAATGATATGACAAAACCTAAAAAAAAAAACCATCATAAGGTTTAATGATGGTGGGGAGGTTGCCATTCTAAAACTGTCCATGTTTAGCTATGGGAAGCCCCAAAAATTACTGATCGAAAATTAAAGCAGCAGGTGCACAACATTATATCCGTAGAAGAATCTTTGTAAGTTTAGATGAACTCTTTCAAGCCATTTTCAAGGAAAATTAGATTAGCACTGAAACTACGAAGCAAGAAAACAAAAGTTATCAATATGTGTTGCTTGCAACAGCTGGACCCTATCAGGCGACACAATAAATGGACATGACCTGCAAATGTACATTCAAACACCCAATGTACATGTACTAAGTTATTCTGATTTTCCAAAATAAATGAATTGATAAGAAAGTTCCTTTAGATTTTAATCAATTATGTCACAGGCACTAACATCACTGATCTTATTTATATTTGTCATGAGAAAAACTGCAGACAAAATTACATCTGTCCTGGTTACATGATTATCAATGTTTACGATCAGTTTTCCTGTTAGCCTGTAAAAATTTCACAATTTAAACCTTGATGTAGAATTAGTTTACTCTTGAAAAGGTATTTTGTTTCATTCTAATTAATACAAACTAAGAAGATGTGGTATAATTGCCAATGAGACAACCTTCCACCAGACACCAAGTGAGGGCTATTCCATTAAAATGTATGTGGGAGGGTAGGAAGGGAAGTTTAATTATTGAATGTGGGTCATGGGTCTTTTTTCAGTATGCATCTATTACCATTATGCAAAATTATCTAAAAAATGGTTCTTGGTTGAAGGGATATTTTGAAAGCCCCTTCCTACCCTCCCACATACATTTTAATGGAATAGCCCTGATGTTGAAGGTTAGCAGTTGGCTATAAGGTACATATCTAAGTCAAATTCAGTTTCTGATATAGCTGAGAGCCAAAAATTGGGGAACTCTGAAATCTAGAGATTATCCAGTAAATTTTGATATCTCATTTGCTAGATTTCTTTGCCTGTCCAAGTCTAAAAATATGTTACTCAAACCTCTCTTCTATTTGCTTCGTTGCACAGATCATGAGATGAAGTGTTATCAGCATTAAGAAAATTCCACTTAAGCCATTGACATTTGCAATGTGACCACTGTGACTTTTAAATGAAAAGAGCAATAAAAATATTCTCCTTTGCTTTAAATTTTTGGAAGTGCATGTTGGGATTTTGTTTCCTGAATAAATATATCATATCCCTTCTATTCACAATATTGAATAGTAAGTTTTGTAGTAGCGGTTCTTAGGAGCATGAATGAAAAAAAAAACAATTAAAAAACAAAGCTTACCTGGAACAAGAAAGAAAAAGACCAGAACACCAAAACCAAAGGTGATCAAACCTGGAACTGCAAAGGACCATCCCCATGCTGTTGTCACAAACGCTCCTCCGATCAAAGATCCTAATATGTTACCAACAGACGTGTGAGAGTTCCATATACCCATGATCAATCCACGTCTGAAATATACAATTTATAAAATAAGGAATTGTAACAACATCATTTTTTCCATGACCACTGCAAACTATTGATTCAAACACATCAAATTCTGCATGAAATTTATTAAAAAAATTCAAATATTTAAAGTGTCTTCCAGATAAAAGAACATACATCAGGAAATTATTTTGTACATTTTCAAAGAAAACTACAAATCAATATCTATTGTTACATTTTCTTCCCTTGCCAAATTAATAAATATCTGGAGCTAGCCATCAAAACCTTTAAACAATTATACAAATAATGGCAAAATCTTTAATCAACTGGCTTTTTTTCATATTTCTCCATCAAGTTCCTCTACTCTGTGCTTTTTTTCATGTAAGAACAATATCAGAAGTTAACTAAAGGAGGTACCTTTTATTGTATTGTTATGATCATAAAGTTAAAGAAAATAATAAATATGAATTAGTAAACCATTTCTAGCTTGTCTGTCTTATTTTCATTTCATGAAGTAAGGGAGATAACTCATGTGTTAAACAGAACAGAATGTAAGCAACTAGTCTACAGGTCACAGAAAGCCTTCAATAATGAGCAAATCCCATATTGTATAGCAAGTTTAAAAGGCCCTGGCATGACAAAATTTGAAACAATTCAAAAGAGGAAACCAGCAGTCTGAGTCTGAAAAAATATATACTTGATGCCAGCTGCATGGCAGGAAAAAAATTAGGGAAAATGATTTTATTTTTTTATTACTTTAACTTGACTATATAGGGAATGTTCTGAACTTAAAGAGTGATTAAACAAAACTGTCTGGAATTTCATGGAGCTTAACAAAAATGTCCCTAGTGTGTGTTAGGATAGGTATGAAAAAAATGTTTTGTAGAGAGGCAAAGAAGTCTTTTTTAGCCCCAGATTTATGCCAAAAATAACAAACCAAAAACAATCAGGGCAGACAACTATCAATGACAACCACTGGATTACAGACTTCTGACTTTGGGACAGCCATGTAATATGGTGGGTTAAACACTTTTGTGAGTATAAAATCCTAACCCAAAACTGGGACACTGGTGTAACAGTTTAAAATATGAACAAACTGTAAGTATCAGTTGGAAATAACTTGACTCGTCAGATCAATGCTGAGCACGAAATAAGTAAACTGAAAGACAAGAGACACAAAGTACCAATCTAAGAATACTTGCAATTACTATAAGATAGTGCAATGCTTTCCTAGACTAATCCAGTTATCCCAGACTTGGCTAATGGTGTTCAATTATGCACACTTCATATAAAAAGAAATACATGAAGGTCAGTAATAAATTAACTTTTCTTTTGGAAGTGAAACCTTTTTAAAAAAAGATGTTATAATTGTCATAAAATCTCTAGCAAAAATCTCTTTCCATTGATTCACAGAATTCTTCAAGTTCCATGAACTACAGCTTGTGTGATGTGACGCTCATAGGTGAGCATACAAATTCATATGATGGTTATAAAAAACAATTTTATTTTTTGAAAGACCACAATGACACCTACTTGCCCTTACCATACCAGTTTCCAACACATGTTACTACACTAGGCCAACCAGAACTTTGAACCAGTCCACTTACTACCTATCAAAATAAAATTACAAGTACATATACTACCTTTCTAAACATTTATACATAACAAATGTTCTTTCATTGCAATAAAATTTGACACTTTAGTAAGATAATAAAACCAATTAATTAAATTTTTTACTTGTCTTATTTCTGACAAAAAGATACTTTTTTATTCCAGATTTGAGCCTGTCTATGAGTAAATTTCAGATTTTAGCGCCTTATAGTAAAAGCATTCTTTAAATAATTTATCATATTATTATTAATTTAGAAGTGGTCCTGTTCTAGTTATAGGTGTTTTACCTTTGGTGCTCCAGTTTCTATTCAATGGGGTTGTCAACTGAAACCAAAGTTTTTGACCTTGACCTTTGACCTAAGAAGTTGTACATACATTATGACACACCCTCTGGTGTTGGTTTATATACATATCAAGTATAAACTTTGAAATCATAACGGTTCTCAAGATATAGATTGGACACGATCTTTACCATAGGACATGGGGTTGTCAACTAAAACCAAAGTTTTTGACCTTGACCTTTGACCTAGGAAGATGTACATACATTAAGACACACCCTCTGGTGTTGGTTAATATACATGTCAAGTATAAACTTTGAAATCATAACGGTTCTCTAGATATAGAGCGGACACAATTTGTTACGGACGGACGGAGGGACGGACAGACTGATCACTATAGAGCGTCCGCCATTCGGCAGGGCCCTAATTAATACAAAATTGATATCAACACAATAAATTTAAAAAAATTACAATTCACTTACTTGTATACCAACATAAAAGTATATATTATGTATGTTGAAAAAGTATCCCATTCCAAAAGCTGCTGTAAATATTCCAACAAGCATCATACCTCCTGACAAGAAGTAACGAAGATTTAATCGCTCTGCTATGTGTCCACTGAAAATATATACAGACTTAAAGTTGGCGCTTTTTTTTTTATTTGATGAACAGAGTACAGCTATTTACATTTCCTTTAAAGGTGATTAAAGTTTACTTTCCCTATTTGCAAGTTTGCGACTTTATTGTTAAATGTGTATTTTTTTATTGTGAAGGCAAATAGTATATAATATATTTATATGGTTAAGAATAAATATCTTAACCATTTCTGATCAAAATACAGAAAAAATCGGAGTATGATTATTTGTGGGTTAAATATTTTTGTGTATATATCGGAAAAAAAGAAGGATTTACACATGTATAAAAAGACCAAATAATTAATACAACAATTTTCAACAAAAATTTATATTGTAAGAATAGAAGAAGGAATGCAATAAATAGATTGCTTACTACAAAGAAGAGCACTTTTGTTGCTGTTCTATGCTGGAAGGTCACATGGAGGCCTTCAATACACAGAAAAGTTCACATCTCACTGAAAGTTCAAGACCGCCCCTGGAACTCATGGTTAAAGTTAATTCTTTGCTTAATGCCAATAAAGTTACAACTGTGCACTAAAGAAAACTGAAGTATGATTGATGTATATAGGTAGATATTATACCCCATCTATATCATTTTGCAGATCTAACAAGAAAGATTGAAGTGTATACAAAGAATGCTGTCTATTCTGAATTGGCAATGACTGAGATCTCAGTATGTATCCATGAACAAGTGACATCAGCAAGATGTCCATTTAACTATTTCTTTATTTGGAAATGGAAAATGTATTCAGACTTGAAACAAGCATTTTGAGAGTATTGCATGGCAATACAAAGTCCCCTACCGTGTAAAAATTCATTATACTGGAACAAAATGCTAACTTGTTCTATAACTTGTCATGGTGTAAACAAAAAGTAAATATCATGTCAATATCTTCAAGCATGACTAAAAACAATGTGGAAAACTGATTATATGAGTTAATTTTTCAAGTCCAAGGACCATAACTCTGCACAAAATTATTAGACCAAAACAAAAATTTGAACTTGATCCGTTACTTGTCATGATAAAACTATATACCAATTATCAATCAATATCTTATAAGCATGATAAAAAAACATTAGATATGATTAATAGTTACCTAAAATTAGATATGATGTAATACAGTGTATATCTATTTTCAAATTATAATCAAATATAATTAATAGTTCCAAATATTTTTCTTTCATTTGCACAAACTAATATAGATTTGTAACTTATCTATAAAATGTCAACAACTTTTATCTACACAATGTAATGTATTGAAATATATACATTAATAAAAATAGATTATTATCTAATTAAAGGATTTCTCTCCATAATTTTTTTTATATATATAGCATTCAGAAAATTAGTTTATACTAAATAACAAACAAACCTGCCAAAAAATTCTTCAAATAATTTAACAAAGAATGTCTTTTTTAAAAAATGAGTTATCTCCCTTTGTACAGAAATCTGGTTTAACATAGTACTCTAACATTAGATATGGTCCAGAGTTATGGTCCAAAACTCTGGACTAAATCATTAGACTGGAACAAAATTCGAACTTGATCTATAACTTGTCATGATAAAACTATATACCAAATATCAAATCAAGAACGAAGAAAAAAAGTTTGGAAAGCTGATTTGCCGGACTGACGGATGGACAGACGGACAGATGGACAAACGGACAGACAGACGGAGTGCAAACCTAAAGTCCCCTTGACTTCGTCGGTAGGGGACTAAAAATCACTGAAGCTTAAAAAAGGCCCTTTCTTGACTATTGCAGCCATTTTGAATAGGGAGTCGATTTTCATAATAGAGATTAAAATGCTTTGAAAATCACGGGAGACCATCTTTGACACAGAACAGTTGCTTAGAAACATGCATACGTTTTCCTGGACTTTCTAACTATTTCCCCCTCCATCCAAAAATCTGCCCCCTATTCAGTATGGCTGCAACAACCATGAAGTGGCCTATTAAGTCAAACCCATTTGAATGGTGCAAGACAAGTATATACTCTTCCTAACCAAATCACATATCGTATATTGTTGACCTATCAATTTTCATGTACAGTTACTGAAGAACAAATCACATCCTATCAACTTAACCTTACCACTGGAGCATAAAATTGAGGTCAAGGCCATATGACAAATAACAGATGGACATATACATACATGGTGAGGCAAAGTTGTTAATAAAACCTGTGAACAAATGTACAAATAAACTGTTGACACAGAGATATGTCTTGCATGTATGTTATTTTGATCGTAAAATGCATATATATATATATTCGATTTCTAACATCACTGAAGATACATTAATTGTCGAAATCCGGATATGGTGTACAAATTTTTGCACCTCATGTTTGCGTTATACCATCTTTCTTTTCTGCAAGTTTATTGTTTTTTGTTTGGTAGTAAATTATAATAAAGATCCATTTTGTTACATCTTGTGATCCGTTTATTTGGCAATTGCCAATGGCAGTCAGCAGGGTTTAAGAACATCCGTTGTTCGACCTGTTAGTCAAATGCATTTTGTTTAAATATACTTTTTCACTGTTTTGGTCTTTTGGAAAATGTTGTTTGTGCTGTATTTAGACCCCTCTACCAAGAAATTTGTTTTGCATGCACACATATAAAAAATTGCGGTTTTTATCCAACGCAATCATAGGTTTGAACGTTGTTTTCAATTTAGACTTATTTATATATAGATATATATAGAGAGAGGCGAGACAATAATTGCCTTTATGAATAGAACAGACATAATGATTTCGTTACACTAAACATGCAAAGATTACCATAGATGGTATTGGTTGTTCAGTTCAGGATTTTTTGTATTTATGATCTCAAATGTTTTTATATTTCTGACTTTCCAAACTTTTGGTATCAAGCATACCTGATTAGGATTAATGCAAAAACATGCACTTCCTGCACAGAATTCATGTTTTTACATCCTCCAATTTATTAATCAAGAAGGGGGTGTATCAATATTTGATAACGGAAAACAGGAAGTAAATACCAAACAGAGCTGAAAAGCGCACAAACATTACATCTAATTACTACAGAGCTGTTGACCAAATGTGAAAGCATTCTGTAATACAGTTTCTGAGAAAATAGTGATAAAAATTCTAAGTTTATTCAACATATTGAAAATTTAAAATATCGACAAACAAGAATTAGGTACATGTATCTGACATATAAAACTCATCACTGTCAAGCTACTGACCAAATATGAAGTTATTTTGTTGAGCAGTTTCTGTGAAAATTAGTGACTAAATAAATTGGTAGACAAACAGATGGATGAACAAACAAGATAATTTTAAAATAGCCCACACTTTTAGACTGGAGATATAAAACTAACAAGAATTCTCAATTTTGACTTTGTTTCACCCCTAGGAACAAATAACATTTACCTAAATTGGTTTTAGAGAAAATTAACTTCTTTAATATTCAAAATCAAGAGATGACACTGTAGTTATAGTAAATTGGTCATAGAAATTGTAATGGATCACCTTGACAACAAGTTATCATTAAATGACCACAAACATGGTCAGCTAAGTCATTATTATAGAACAATCAACAAAAACAACCAAAATTTGGTAAACAAATTTCCTTATCTACTCAATTATTTCTGATAATTTATAAAATAAACAAGAATTTTGAATCTTACTTTGTTTCACCCTAAGAAACAAATAAAATTTTATCCAAATTGGCTATTAAAAAAAAATGACTTCTTTAATATTCTACTCTTTGGTCGGGTTGTTGTCTCTTTGACACATTCCTCATTTCCATTTCTCAATTTTAAAAATCAACATGGTAATTACCCTGTAGTTAAAGTAATTGGTCCTAGCACTTTTAATGAATCACTTTGACTCAAATATTGAAATCATCTAAGTCAACATTCTATCATTAGATGACCATAAACATGGTCACCAAACTAATCATTATAGAATAATAAACAAAACAACCAAAATTTGGTAAACAAATTTCCTTAACTACTCAATTATTACTGATAATTTACAAAAGAACATGAATTAACTATCACAATTGTTTACTTATTTCGTAAATCTTACAGGATAAAGAGTTTTATTAGAACACTTATTAGAAGTGGACAAAGCATTTTCTATATATAGTTTTCAAATCATTTAGTTCAGCAGGACCTAAGAGACTATTTTATCTAGCATGTCCTAAAAACAGGTCAATGACAATCAGATTACATTTGATCACCCCAGGATTCTGCTTATGTCTTCCAAAACTCCACAATACCTGAGCTACGTCAATAACCAAGAGGTCACTGGGGTAAACATGACAAAAATCATGTATCTTCTTCATGCTTACAAATCTTGTCTATTTAACTTATCTTAAGGTGAAGAACCAATATCTGCTGATTTTCATTATTCCTGCATTGACCGGCCATAGCCAGATTTTTCTGCATATATCAGAACAATAATTTTGAAATTCTATATTAATTTGTTATTTACTACTGGAAAGTATTGAAATTATTCATTTAAAACTGATTTCAAATTAATATCTCCAAGCATGAAGTAAATCAAAGCATCGTTGATGTTGTGATCCAGCTATATTCATAGCTAGTCTGATATTCTTTCTGACCATACTTTTTTCAATATTTTTTTCTTTTCATTTCCAATCTTACTGTAAAATTTCTATGTTATTGTCCAAAGGTAGGGAATTTCGCAATATTGATGCAAATATTGATAAATTATTGATATTTCAATTTTAGACTCTGTCAGATTTTTTTTTATAAATATTTGCAATTTAATGGTATTGACAAGAATGGAAAGGGAAATCATCAAACAAGTAATATATTTCTTTATATGCCATTAATAATAACTGGCTTAATAAATTCCAGAAAGAGGCCTTGGAAATGCACTTCTCAACAACAAAAACTAAAAAAAATAATACCTATTTTTTATCTAAATTGGTGTTCATTCTTCATTAGAAAAAAATACATTTCCTGTATTCAAATTTAAATGTACAAACATACCTAATGCTGAGATATTTCCAATTACTGTTAAATAGCAATATAACGGGATATAAATGTAGAACAAACAAATAAATTTTATTGCAGAAAATGCTCAGGTAAGAGTTATGCAATTTTGTTTATTGTTTCAACCAAATTTCTGATCATTGTAACTAATTAATTTGAATTTGATTATTGACTTATGTCAGATTATAATGACACTGATTTTATAAGTGAAATAAAATTTGCTTGGATTTTTTTATACATATTTTTTTCATTTTTTGTCTTTTCTTTAAAAAAAAACCACACATCTGATTAATCATTTAGCTAGCTAGCAAAATTAACAGAATATTTTAATGTAGTGTTGATCAAAATAAATAATACATTTGTAGGTTATTGAATTCAAGAATGTGTGTATTCAGTTAGGTGTGTAATAAATTGTGTCTATTTAATTATGTAACAGGTCATGAAATATTAACTGTGGTGAATTAAGACTGGGGTAACAAAAGTGTTTCCAATTAATACTTACACCTTCGAGTGTAATTATTTGAAAATCATGAGTCTTGACAGTTGATAATCGTACTGACTCTTACTTGACTATGGAAAGAATTGGAGTAATACCATTTCAAAAAAGTGTGGGAATCAACTTAGATATATTAATACACATGTTAATCCAAATTTCACTGAATAATAACTTTAAACACACAAGCATAAGATACTAATATAATACTTTCAAAATTCTTATCAACTGATTCAATTGATGTACTACAAATACTTTTTCAAATTAATTCATAAATAGTAAATCATTATAAATTTTGATTTATAAAGGAACTATATGCAAGTGTATATCTAAAATAAAAGGGTTGTTCGACCAATCTTTTCTTAATTTAAGGGCAAATAACATGTCAAAAGTTGGCAGTTGATGATAAAAATGGTGTATAAAGTTTCTGCAAGTCATAAAAACACATAATTTGTTTCATGCTATGTCTTCAACTTAGTATTCTGCACCATCTCCAAAACCAGAGTGATCGCATAGATCCAGCATGGCTGAATCAAAAAGCGTGGAAAACTGATTTGCCGGACTGAAGGATGAACAGACAGACAGACGGAGTGCAAACCTAAAGTCCCCTTCGACTTCGTCGGTAGGGGACTAAAAAGAAAAACAAGAATAATACCGAAAAATTTTCAGGTCGAATCAATGTATGTTTTAAAACTATTTGTATTAGAGAAATCTGACAAAATATAAACAGTGAGATGAAAGGTAGACTTTTTTTAACCTGTTTACCTTTTTATCTTGTGGGAAAACTCATGCCACATTAATAACAATCTAATTTGTATAGCTTTTATCCTTTTTCAACTTCTTTCTGATGAAAAAAGGCATTGTAACAACAAGAACTGATTTATCTATTTTAGGGAGACAACATTTCTAAGTTGTATAACTTGTGTTAAATCGATTTGCCTTTCATTATTTCAACAATAAAATCTGTTTAAACTATCCCTTTATATTTGATTCTATAAAAAAACTACTGATATAAAAGATACTTATTCATGTTATTTTGCAAGCAGAATAAACTGGTATATTCATATTCATTTATTAATATAAATATGTCACATTTTCTGGTAGATGCTTGCTAATGCTAGAACAAATTCTAATAAAATATCATAAGAAAATTAAGTTTAAATTATTTTCCATAAATTGTTTTTGAATGTTTTTAGAACAGTAAGAAATTTCATGAAGTAAATCACTAAATGCAGCGAATCCGTTAATACAACTTTGTTGATTCTGTAAATCTAATATGAATGGTGTAAAACATTTCCTGATCCTTGTATTGATCTATCTAAACAACAGACAATAATGTTTTGCAACTCAAGTAAGACAACCACTGTACAAAAATCATTCAACTGAAAGTATTTGGAGAACGGCCATCTTGGATATTTTACACAGTTGATAAGTCAGTATTATATGTTTTAAAACTTGCAAACATCTTGACAAGACTAAAAACTAAAGTATTTTTCACAACTGCTTAAAACAGCTTGTCTTACTTATAAGGATATTTAAATTAGAAATACACAAGAATCATAGATTTTATTCACAAATTAGAGAAGGTGGGATTGGTCAGGGGAAGTAACTTTTGCATAAATGTGTTCAATTCTGGTAGAAAATTACATAAGATATAACTGCATTCAATAAATAGTTTCTTACAAACTAGTCATCAAAACAGATTAAACTTTTGATGTATATGCTATGACAGAAGAGCTCCTAAATTACCTAAAGAACATTCCAAATGCATAACTGAATAGAAATGCCAGGTCTAAACTTCCCAGCAACTGTTTGTGATTTGATTGATCTAAAATAAAACAAAATAAGTATTTATCATAATGAAGTGATTCTTTTAAATATTGATTTACATATCTACAAATACTTGAATATGATTGATTTACTAGTATTAGAATTTTTTCTCTTTGTTAACACTTCAATATACCATGTTTTCTGAAACTACTCTCATAACTTATGTTACTTTATTAAGTGAATAATGTGACTGGGTTGGTATCGCAATAATTAGAACTCACATTCTGATACCTGATATATATCAATGTACTGGGATTTTCCCGAAATTCGCAATAATCAATCTCGCATTAATGTCCATTCTTCAAATATCGCAATAATTTGTGAATTAATTTTACAGTAATATGTCCATTTCACTGTGATTTATTTGTGCCAGATAGATGTACACACGATTATATTCTGGGATTCCAAGAAAATTGAAATTGAAATTATAAACAAATGTTTGGTTTGAGAATTAGAGTAAGGATTAAAGACATAACTGGGCCACTGACTCACAAACTTTACACAAAGATCCTTTTTTTAAGCAAAAAAATTTACCTGTAAATGAAGTTAATACATATTTTTTCTTCTATTTCATTACTACAAGTGTAGATTAGCTTGTTTTCATCCCATATAATTTTGTCTTTTTCTTTTTTTTTTTCCTTGTCTTGTGTCAAATTGAACAATTGATTAATGTTTAAAACATGCAAAGGGATATGTGCATGCAAAGATTAATGTTTAAAACATGCAAAGTGTTCCAATTTTATGTCATATTAATTATAAGTGCATCTGTTCAACCTTATCTATGTGTGTCACTATTGAAAAATAAGGTCTCTTTACATCTTCATGGGGTGACTCTTAAAAAACTCCTAAAGAACAGGGAAACAGGAAGTCACTAACTATTACCATCATAGATATACTAAAATTCCTTCAGAAATGACAATTACGAGAATTCATGATGAAAATTATTTTACAAAAATCATGCAGGATTCTAATAATTGTAATCTCACCTCAATTTTTTTTCCAAAATGATAAAGTTTTTTGTAAATGCTTAAACTACAAGATTACTGTCAAATTTTTTATTTATAGGAGTTTAAATTGCACGTTTCTAGGGTCAACTCTGTTTGTGAGGGTTTTTATTTCTCATTTTCCTTGTTCCTTTTTTTATCTTCCTTATAAATCAATTTAACTCCAAGAGGATATTTCACAATTTTTTCTGAATCAAGAAATTAGCAAAATTAAACCCTCTAGGTCTTGTACTGCTTATCATTATTGCTGTATACAGTTTCTACCAATCTATTATAGTTTCTTGTAGATCCTTTTTAAGGATCAATTTTTCCATTTAGACTGTCTCTACTGTATAGTTTTATACTATTGAAAGATTCCTTGCTTTGTTAGTTTCTGCTAAAAATGGGTAAAAATCTTCTTTCAAGGACAATAACTATAACAAGCTGTAAATTGATGATTTCAGTCATGTTGAAATATTTGTAGATCTTGTTGTTCTGATCATATTTACTGTTTCAAGTCTCTCTCTCCTTCGAGTGAGTAACCACAAACTGGTCTGATTTTTCTGACTATTTCATAGCAGATAGACTTGACCTGCTTATCGTTTTATCCTTGTCAGTTTTGCTATAACTGCTTTTGTTTTCATATAAGCCCAAAGCAGCCGTTAAACCCCTATGTTCTATTTATAGCAACATTCATCATGTTTGATGATGAATCAAACTCCCAGATACAATTTTAAATTAGATTCCCAAAGGAAGTTGAACATTCAGAAAAATTTCGGTAACATTGACTCAAAAGTTTCAGAAGAGAAGATATCTATTGATTTAAAAGTTTATAACAATGAATTGACATACAGAAAGACACACTGAAGCTGGATACCAAATGATGTCAATAGCTCACAGGGCATTTTTGGCCAGGTGAGCTAAAAAGCTGAATGTGATAAAAATCCTACCAAAAGGTGCCCAGTCACAAAACGTTGTTGATGTATTATCTGGGGCGATCTCAAGTTCGTATCCATCTTTAATTGGAACTGAGCAATTTCTGTATAGTACATTCTGAAACAGATAATAGGTAAATATGTATTTACATGTATAGTAGGAAAATAAAACTAGAGGCTCACATAAGCATCTGAAGATCACTTGGTAGCCATGTCTGTTTTGCTATGGAATCTCTTAATTTTTAAGTACAAGTACATGTACACTGCACTCAGTCAGTGTCAGTACCTCAGAATAAACCTTCCAGCAATTTTAAGTTTGAACTCATCTGGCATATCTCAATGAAAATATTTTCTACATAATTCCAACAGGCAAATCAGTACCAAACAAATATCAAACAGTAAACAAGAAAAGCTAACTTTCTATCATATCTGGTTTCATTTGGTTCAGCAGTTCTCAAGCAAATAAATGGGGAATGTGTCCATGGGACACAGATGATGCCCCCGCTTGCATACAACGTTATAAAGGGACATAACTCAAGAACGGTAAAAGTGATGCCACCCAAATTCGTATTGATCTGAGTTTTGTGGTTATAAGCATTGTGTATAAGTTTCATAACATTTGGTATATACAAACTTAAGTTAGAGAACGAAAACGAAGAATTCAGCAATTTTTCCATTTGTAAAGGGGCATAACTCAAGAACAGTAAAAGTGATGCTACCAAACTTCAAACCTGATCTGTGTTTTGTGGTAATAAGCATTGTCTATAAGTTTCATAACATTTGGTTGAGGCAAACTTAAGTTAGAGAACATAAATGAAAAATTCAGCAATTTTTCCATTTGTAATTGTAAAGGGGCATAATTGTAGAATGTTAAAAGTGACACCACCAAAATTCAAACTTGATCTGTGTTTTGCGATAATAAGCATTGTGTATAAGTTTCATAACATTTGGTTGAGGCAAACTAAAGTTAGAGAACGGAAACCAATTTCGGGACGTACGTACAGCTGTACGGACGGACGGACAAGGGTAAAACTTAATGCCCCCTCCGCTACGACGGGGGCATAAAAAACACTTTAAGTTTCAGTGAATTAAAAAGCTTTGGTGGCCATCTTTGTAATCTGATTGGCACAAAAGTCACTTACTTTCGTACAACAATCATAAGGAACATTTTTGCCAAGATTGTTTCCATTTACTGACACAATTTGGAAAGAAATATTTCAAAAACTTTCCCTACAGTACGTACATGACGTAGGATACCTTAAGATCTTTCAGCTTCTGCTATGGGTTCTTTGATATTGACTGATAACAGCTACACATTATAAATGGAAAAATATGCAGGATCCATAAAAAATATCATTCAAAACTGGAAAACCTTCCCACAAATTCTATCATTCACTGCCCCCAACAAAAGATCGTGATTATAACTACATGTACAATGTACTATTAAACAAGAGATTTCAAGACTTTCAAGATCTTATTGTACACTCAGATCACATTAGGCATCCAGCTGAAATTAAATAACAAAAAAATCAACTTCATCTATTATATAGGAAGTAAAAATGGTCAAAACGGTAATTTGGATAGATTACAACTGTTTCCTTGGTTATTAAAAATTTATGGCAGCCTTTAAATCTCATTTTTTTTCTATTTTACCTACTGATCAACGCAAAAAATATAGTATGGAGCTAATTATTATAATGCATCTTTTAATCTAACATTACAAATGATTTGGGTAGGTGCAAATAATTTTTGATCTTGAGAATGCATCAAGAAAATAGATATATCCTCATCCCACTTCAGATTCAATTTTTATCTTTTATACAGTCAAATTTAGATTTCCTTTGATTAAGTTACATCCTTATAATTCACGTTATAAGGATATTAAAATAAACAAACAGGACAGGTCAAGTGAAACACATGAGATATGAGTCATCGCTACAGATTAGGTGTGTTTGAGTAATAAGATAACCCTATGCTACAATAAATGTTAAAATTTAAAGTGTTATACTTATTTATAAAATGATTTTCTTTTCTTTGATATATATATTAGCAAAGTAAATGTTTGCTACTATCTACATGATCTTACTCATGAAAAAGTACTGCAAAAGCAGACGGCAAGCACATATCATTGATATCCCCATGAAAATGATTTTCTTTTCTTTGATATATATATTAGCAAAGTAAATGTTTGCTACTATCTACATGATTTTTCTCATGAAAAAGTACTGCAAAAGCAGACGGCAAGCACATATCATTGATATCCCCTGCTATTAAAACCCTTGACGACATTCATAATTTCACAAAAATTGAAAAATGCATTTATCTGTGTTCTTTTTAAAGTCCAAATCTCAACAAATATTCCTTGTACAAAATAGTTTTACAGAATATTTCTTTCAAAGTATAACTTACAAGTAAAGATCAAAGTTACACAACATGAATAAAATTGACAACTTCCAAGTGCTCTCCTTACACTGTGTACAATGGCTTCCTTTTATCTAAATTACAATAAATCTATAATTCTAGCATGAGAGACGATTTTTCTAGAAGCAGAAATGTACCTGAAAATTATAGCATCATCAAGACATTTGTAGAAAAAATAGTTTAAATGTTTCCAATTCTGGTGGATAGTTGTCTTAATTGCAATTATACTACATCTCTTCATTTTAAAAAGGATGAATTGCATAAATAAACATTTCACTATAACTTTGCTTGAATGAAATATACAATATGTAAAATTTTATCATATAAAACCAACTTCAAATTGACATATATATATAGATTCTACCACTTCATCGAGTGTAATATGATATTTATCCACTCGAGACAGTTACACGAGATTTGGTGGTCGAATCTGTTTCTCTAATGATTTTCAAACAATATGCAGGCAAACTTGTTCCTTCTTTTTGAATGATCTGCAAAAAGATGTGTTCTTTCTATGTGACGTCATCGGGCATGGTCGCCTTTTTTCATGCCGTCACAATAGGAAATTCAGAGGAAAGCAAGAAAATTCGACGTCATAATCGGATTTTAACCAATGATAAGCTGAGATCAATCAAACCACACGTTGATTAAATTTTTTTTATACAATGGGTGCAGAAAGGGATAAATCGACGAAGAATTAGAGAAATATATATATCATCAAAGATGACACATTGATATTTTTAGGTATATACAGTTTCCATAGCAACCAAAACAAATTACCTTGACAACACTGACAGGTTTCTTGGCCATGTGATAACATGTGTAGACCAAAAAGGTTAAAATAAGGATCCATACTCTGTACCTGAATAAATAAACAAATAAAATATAAATCTATATGTGGTACTAATAACCTTTCCAATTTCTAGAACCCATATCAAAAGATCTTGAATGAGTTAGCTCCTGTTTCTTGTTTTTGATCTTTCTGACAACACATAATGTTATATTTAGTATTTGCATAAAAAAAAGGTAAAATTTGATTCAAATTTGAAAAATGTTTGACAAGAAATGAAAGCAGCATCTTGTAAACACAAGAGTGCACATGCTGAAATGTCTCGCCTTCTTTACTAACCATTGATTGTATGTTGATAGTCCTAAATACAAAGCTTTACTACAAGTAACACATAAACTTAACATGATCCAAGAAAATGAGGTCAAGGTCAGATAAACCACACGAGAAATACATGTACACCTTACAATCATTCAATAAACCAAACATAGTTGACCTATTGCTTATTGTTTCTAAGAAATAGTCAAACAAGAAAACTTAAAATTGACCAATGAACCATGAAAATGAGGTCAATGTCAGATGAACCATGCTAGACAGACATGTACACCTTACAATCAATTTAGGCATTAAATATAGTTGACCTATTGCTTATAGTATCTAGAAACAAACTTAACCATGAAAACTTAACATTGACCAATGAACCATGAAAATGAGGTCAAGGTCAGATGATACCTGCCAGACAGACATATACACCTTACAATCATTCCATACATCAAATATAGTTGATCTATTGCTTATAGTTGAAGAAAAACAGACCAAAACACAAAAACTTAACACTGAGAAATGAACCGTGAAAATGAGGTCAAGGTCAAATAAAACCTGTGAGACTGGCATGTACATCATAAAATATTTCCATACACCATTTATAGTTGACCTATTGCATATAGTATTAGAAAAAAAGACCAAATCTCAAAAACTTAACTTTGACTACTGAACCATGAAAATGAGGTCAAGGTCACATGACACCTACCAGTTGGACATGTACACCTTACAATCATTCCATATACCAAATATAGTAGACCTACTGATTATAGTATCTGATATATGGACTTGACCACGAAAACTTAACCTTGTTTAATGATCCATGAAATGAGGTCGAGGTCAAATGAAAATTGTCTGACAGGCATGAGGACCTTGCAAGGCACGCACATACTAAATATAATTATCCTATTACTCATAATAAGAAATAAATTAACATTACAACAAGAGTGCTCACGCTGAAATGTCTCGCCTTCTTTACTAATCATTGATATTATGTTGATAGTCCTAAATATAAAGCTTTATTACAACTGTCACATAAACTTAACATTAACCAAGTAAACTAAACATTGACCAATGAACCATGAAAATGAGGTCAAGGTCAGATGAACCATGCTAGGCAGGCATGTACAGCTAACAATTCTTCCATACAACAAATATAGTTGACCTATTGCTTATAGTTTAAGAAAAACAGACGAAAACACAAAAACTTAACACTGAGCAATGAACCTTGAAAATGAGGTCAAGGTCAAATAAAACCTGCGTAACTGACATATAGATCATAAAATATTTCCATACACCAAATATAGTTGAACTATTGCATATAGTATTAGAAAAAAAGACCAAAACTCAAAAACTTAACTTTGACCACTGAACCATGAAAATGAGGTCAAGGTAAGATGACACCTGCCAGCTAGACATGTACACCTTACAATCATTCCATACACCAAATATAGCTGACCTATTGCATGCAGTATTAGAAAGAAAGACCACAACTCAAAAACTTAACTTTGACCACTGAACCATGAAAATGAGGTCAAGGTCAGATGACACCTGCCAGCTAGACATGTACACCTTACAATCATTCCATACACCAAATATAGTAGACCTATTGCATACAGTATAAGAAAAACAGACCAAAACACAAAAACTTAACTATAACCACTGAACCATGAAAATGAGGTCAAGGTCAGATGACACCTGCCAGTTGGACATGTACACCTTACAGTCCTTCCATACACCAAATATACTAGACCTATTGCTTATAGTATCTGAGATATGGACTTGACCATGAAAACTTAACCTTGTTCACTGATCCATGAAATGAGGTCGAGGTCAAGTGAAAACTGTCTGACGGGCATGAGGACCTTGCAAGGTACGCACATACCAAATATAGTTATCCTATTACTTATAATAAGAGAGAATTTAACATTACAAAAAATCTGAACTTTTTTTTCAAGTAGTCACTGAACCATGAAAATGAGGTCAAGGACATTGGACATGCGACTGACGGAAACTTCGTAACATGAGGCATCCATATACAAAGTATGAAGCATCCAGGTCTTCCATCTTCTAAAATATAAAGCTTTTAAGAAGTTAGCTAACGCCGCCGCCGCCGCCGCCGTAGCCGCCGCCGCCGGATCGCTATCCCTATGTCGAGCTTTCTGCGACAAAAGTCGCAGGCTCGACAAAAAATGTTGACTTTTTTTCAAGTAGTCACTGAACCATGAAAATGAGGTCAAGGACAATGGACATATGACAGACGGAAACTTCGTAACTTAAGGCATCTATAAACAAAGTATGAAGCATCCAGGTCTTCTAGCTTCTAAAATATAAAGCTTTTAAGAAGTTAGCTAACGCCGCCACCACCACCGCCGGTTCACTATCCCTATGTCGAGCTTTCTTTGACAAAAGTCGCAGGCTCGACAAAAACTGATTATGTGGGATTTTTTTAAAAAGGCCTTCTTCCAAATACATAGTACAGTGATATAAAAGGTTTCCTGTTTTCTTCTGATATCATTCAAGGTACATGTATTGAAATCATTATTACAGACTGATATTATTCAAAGTATCAATATCAATATAAAAGACTAATTCAAATTAGGCCATGCTAAAATGATTGTTTGATTCCCCTAACCCTGCCAGGTCTGTTTTACCCTCCAGGTCAATTCTTTTCTTTTTTCTTTTTTTTTGGCAGTTGAAAAAAAAAAGCATTGCTTTGGTTTCTATTGATAATTTTCAAAATTTTATGATAATCTCTTAAAAGTGATTCAACATTGCTCAATTATCATTCCCATTAGTTTCACATACATATACCTTATGCAACAATATAGAATGTTAAACTAGAATTTACTGTCAGGTTAACAACAAAATTCTCTGTACAGTGAAACTGATTTTTCACAAAAAAAAATAAAATAAAAAAAATGTTCTGCCTGCCGGCCTTTAATAATTTTCACATGTGAGGGGAAACCAACATTCATTTTTCCATGGCCTCATATTATATATATATATAGTATATAGTTAAACTAAGATTTTAGAGTGAGTACTACATGTAAGTGCATAAAATTAAAATTTGCTTACTGTGGATTCATTTATTTTCGTGGGTATCAATTTTTCGTGGACTGAGGAAAAGTCATTGATATTTGATTTCATGGTTTTGCCAAAGTCTACATACAAGCCTACAGAAAATTTGTACTTTGAATGTGTCCACAGTATATGTTAAGTAATATCTATTTCATGGTATGCAATTTTACTCTTTGTTCTTCGCACCTACACAATGTGATATGCTATAAAAAGGACCTGACATGAACTGAAGAAGTAATCCAAGCAACAATAAAGTAATGTCAAGGTGAACTGTCTAATGGACAAAACAGGTGAAAAATATATGCAAACTTCACTCTGTTGTGTATAAAATTCAGACTTCAAGAAAATTCTTTTAATTCTACTGAAAATTACAGGTGAAAAACTTATGCCAACTTCACTCTGTTAGTATGAAATTCAGACTTCAAGAAAATCTTTTTATTCTACTGAAAATTATATGTGAAAAACTTATGCCAACTTCACTCTGTTGGTATGAAATTCCGACTTCAAGAAAAATCTTTTAATTCTACCGAAAATTACAGGTGAAAAACTTATGCAAACTTCACTCTGTTGGTACATGTATGAAATTCAGACTTCAAGAACAATCTTTTTATTCTACCAAAATCTCAAGTTAATCAAAATACCATTAAAGCAGGCTAATTTGTTTGTTCTGGTCAACACATGTTTTACCATTTGAAATGGTGTATTCAGGTCCTGATGAGGCCACTCTATAAGTGGTGAACTTTTTGACCATAATAAATAAGTAAGCCTGTGAAAATTGAGCATGTTTCTGTTTTAAATGATAAATTGTCTATTACCAAGGTGAAAATAACTTTAAATACCCAAGGTATCCACCTGAACTTACCCTACCACACAATTATCGGTACCACATGTACATGAGGTGTTGGTTCATCGCATGAAATTATATTTATATTATAATGTGCATATACACTTAAAAAATCTATATTAAATTGTTAAATTCAGTTTAAATTGTACCTAACCTTTTTTGTGTGAAAATAAAAAGTTCAACTGGTAAGAAACTACTGCATTTGAAAATTAAGAGCGTTGACAGGAAGACTTGTCTCTGTCTGGATTTATCATTTGCAGTGGGTGAAAACTGACTTTATAAATGTTGAAAAATATAAGAGATAACATGCACACATTTTTACTGAATAGACTATAGGGATAAAGCCAAAGAGTTTCAAGATTTGAGAAAACATTTAAAATGCAAACATCTTAAAAGCATAAATTCAAATTTAAAATACATGAGAAAATGGAGTAGAAATTGATGTAAAAGAATCTTTATCTGCAATCTTTATTTTTAATCTGAATGAGCCGCTGTTCTAAAACTTTATTTGTGTAATTATAAAACAGCAAACAAAAAAGTTTTTATCAAAAATGGTAGGAGGGGAGGGGACAGAAGACATAAAACTTTCATTTCAGCCAGAATTATACAGTACATCATAACTTAACAAAATTTGTATTAATAAAATTGTATGGGTCTGTAAATCTCAGCAAATCAAAAGTTACTATGCTTTTTATTTTCTCACTACAAAATGACTTTGTGTGCAAGTTAACTATTAAATTGAATGCTTTGAGTATACATGTACTCTCTATTTCACTGCATAAATTACACAAACCCTTGAATTATCTAACATGTCCAAATAATTGATTTCCTTACAAAAATACTTTTACAGCATACTTAGAGCTAATTCAAGTTGATAAAACAATGTCAATCAAAGCTCAATTGTATGACAAACATTTTTCTTTAGACAGAAACAATATGTTCATCCAGTCTACTTACAATTTCTAGAGCTTCACTTGAGTTAAAAAGACATTTTAGGCCAAAATGAAAAAAAATACTTGTGCTTAGTGTTTCTCTACCTACCCTTGTTATGTTTTAAAATGTCTATTGTAAGATTTTGAGTGGTATTTTTGGAAGTGAATTCTTGAGTGAATTGTGACAGATTTGCAGGTGGTCCCCATGCACATTGTACTCAAGGTAAAAAAATTGAGCAACAAATTTGTTTACTTTCTTTCACTTATTTTGAGGACACTCTAAACACAAATATTTTTTGTTTGGCCTCATAATTGTAAACAACATATGTACCTTATGATCTATATATGAGATCATATGAACTGAAGGAGATGACAAAGTCCAGTAGAAAGTTATGTAATGATATCAAAAAGGAGATACAACAGCTTGACATTATATGAAACGCAAAAATTTTATGGATGACAGGTTGCAAATGTAGAACTACTTATATACTGATAATGGATCAATTTTTCTACATTTTTGCAATATTTCACAGATTTTATAGGGGATAATAATATGTTAAATACAAAACTATATGTAATTATTATTATTTGCATATTTCACCCAAAAGGGTCAGGCAAATATAAAATGCAATTCAATACAAAATATTACAGTATTACAGCAGATACCCTTGAAACATGCACCGATACAATGGAACTTTATTGGACATTGACCTCATTTTATGCGATTGAAAAGATTTATTTTAAAAGTCACAGATTTCAAATGAAAGTTCAAGTTCAGGATTTAAAAATTGTTTTTACTTGGAAATTGGTGGATCCTTTGTTAAAGGATGTTTCATATCACAGAAGCAAAGTAATCTTGATATTTGTTGAAATTTAAGGTTATATCTTTTTGTCACCTTATTTTGATAAAGAGAATGCTGATAGCAATCCATGTTTAGATTTCATTCAAATACTGTCTAGATTATAAATCTATCTAGTGTTTACATTTTAAAATTAGAAAATTTAACTATCAGGGTTGAATAATTATATCAATCTATAGGTTTATGTAGTAAAACTTGTTATTTATATAATACAGTACAATAATATAAATTCAGAAATTATTGTATGCACTTTAATATTATTAAGATTTTTGAAGAATGGACAAAAATGTGAGATTAATTATTGAGATTTCATTAAAATCTGCATACAGATATATGTATCACTCAGATATCAAAATGCAAGTTCTTGTTATCATGGTTATTGCTATACTCAACCAGTCGCACTATTCCCATTAATAAAAACCTCACAATAATTTACAGTATATAATAATTCAAAAACCACAAAAATAAAATTTCATGGCATGTAAAATTACTTTTATGCCTGTATACAATGGTATATATATGGGAAATTCTGTGTTGCTCATGTTTTAACTAACAAATAATTGTCCAATTATTTAAAAATGTCAAAGGTTTATATATGATTCACAATCAAATGATTAATTTCTAAACAAATATATTGATTTGATCACCTCTCTGCTGGTTGATTTTTAGGGAATTATTTTTGTATGGTAAATTAAAAATTTGTAGCATAATTATATCAAGCTGTACTCCTTCATTACAATGTATGTCTGAAGAGTTTTAGATTACACATCCCAATTATTAATAGGAAACAAAAATTTAAATAGAATTGCAACGAAAAATAATTTTGTAAATCTGCTGCTAGAGCCTATATGGCTTGATCTCGCTACATGTATGTAAGGCCAATCAAGCTTTGACAAAACCAGGGTTAAATATTCATAAATAATATTTCTTTAACAAAATTATTTTATGTTTTGATCTTGTCTCTTAATTCCAAATTCATCAGAAATTTTGCCTCAAATTACATTAATTACAATGAATTAGTTTGATAAGCACACTGATTTCTATGTACATGCAATTTCCAAATAAAATTGACAATATGCAGTGTTCCCCTCATCCTGGGAACAGTAGTCAATATATATGTTCCTGCCTCATCAGAACATTTGGTAGGGTTGAATAAGTGTTAAGAAACACAACTCTCCCTTTTTTAATCTCAATCAAATATATATTTGAATTACAAAAGTTAATAAATGAACATACAGGTACAATTATAAATATTACCATTGAAAAGAAAGCTACCTGTTTCTGAAAGCAAGCTCAAAGGACCTACAAAAATGTACATGAAACCTGCTGATATGAAATCATGTCATCATACACTCTAACATTTCTAATACCGGTGGCTGTACTTTATGGTAGAATCCTTGAAGAAACAGTATAACACAAACAGACTTGAATGTTTTAAATATATGATGAAAAAAAATGTATTGTAAATCACTGACAACAGAGTTAATCTACGGCAAAACAACACAGACAAACTTGGAAAAAATGTTTGCACCAAGAATTTAAAAAAAAAGAATTTTATAATTTTATGCATGAACCAGGATAACATTATTATTTTTTCTAAAATGAGTATTTTCTCTAAACATTATGACAGCTGCGAAAAATGCACAAAAAATAATTATAAAATAGAAATATTAAATAGAAAAAAATCCAAATCATGACAAAATGGAAATACTTACGCTACATTTCTGCTTTCTCTAGAAAGAGATGGGAGCACGTAAATTCCTGGTGGTTTTCGGTTAACCATGATTTGTTCTATTAGAAACGAAAACCTCAAAAGAGGGCTTTTTGTTTTGGTCACAACATTTTGTATGATTTTGATATGAAAAAATTGTGTCAAAGTTTATCTCTTTATCCGATTTATCCTTATGTAAATACCAGAGGACATCCGAAAATAATTACTAATTTAATAAAGGAACGTGTCCGGGAGATGCGTTCCGTATATATCAGGTGACTGTGAGTATCAGGGCGTGTTTTATTGGTATCTTCTGGTGAAGAGTCCAAAAAAAAAATGAATCTGGTCCTCTTCTGGAGATATTCTGTAGAAAAAGCAATAAAACACAAATTCAATTTGCCGTCGAATACAGCAGATTTTTTTTTTTATGTTGGATGACATTGATAAATGAAGCCGTTTACGATGATTTATTAGAATAGAAAATTAAGATAAGTCAATTCATTCGTTAGAAATAACTGTAGCATGAATAAGAGTGTGCCTGTTTTGGCATTCATGTAATTATACAATAAGAGTAAAACAAAGAAAACTGGTTGGAAGAACTTCGCTGTGTTCGTGACATTTTTTCTTTATGCTTTCCTAACTCAATATATGCTAAACAAATCCGGCTATTTGATTTTCAGGAATAATCTTAAACTGTACAAGAATTTGTCAATGTTTGTCTGGTATATGATCGAAAAGGTCATTTTGTCTATTAATTTTTTTTAAAGTAAACAAACTGGATTATTTTTATATATAAAAGATATCCGGCAGAGTTCTCCAAATCTTTTTCACTCTGTTGGTCCTTGAAGAAAATCTGCTGGTCTTATATCTATTATTTCTATTGAAAAGTTTCGATGATAAAAACCGTCGGACCACAAAAATAAGGAGATGTGGTTGACTGACTGTTTATGCGGACTTAATCCGTTGGTTGTGTACTGATTGATACTTAAGTCTGAGAGAACAAGATCATGCATTTGTTAGTTGTTTTTGGCGTTGAACAAACTTTCAGTAACTGCAAATACTCTTATTTCGGTGCTTTGTGTCTATTGTCATATTGTTAATTTTTTTTTGTGTGTCTTACCGATCTTTTGATCAATTGCAACTGTTTTTACAGTTTGTTCGTATGTTGTACTGTTACACCAATGTCCCAGTTTAGGGAGGATTGCGCGCTCACAAACATGTTTAACCCTGCCATATTCTTTATGTGCCTGTCCCAAGTGAGGAGCCTATAGTTCAGTGGTTGTCGTTGGTTCATGCATGTCTGTCGACTCATATTTGATTTTTTGTAAATTGTTTTGTTATATATAATTATAGATCATTATAGGCTGTTAGTTTTTTCGTTTGGATTATTTCACATTTTTCATGTCGGGGTCTTTTATAGCCGACTATACGGTTTGGGTTTTTGTCATTATTGAAGGCCGTACGGTTGCCTAAAATTGGTTACATCCACTTCATTTGAACTCCGGTGGATAGTTGCCTCACTTGCAATCATACCACATCCCCTTTTTTATATTATATACCTGACTTTTAAACTCGTGTTTTCCTGAACAAGTATGAAATATTTGTCACTGGACATTAAAAATTAGCAACCAACCATCAATCAATTTAAACTCGTGTTAAATAAGGGGAAAACATTTGATTTTTTTTTTTTTTTGGAGGGGGGGGGGGGGAGGAGGATTTTGAATATGAATATGGTGGCCTGGTAAGAGCTGGAAAAAATAGGCATGTATAGCGACAGATTTAAATGAATAATAAATCCGAAAAATATCCTCCTGCCCCCTCCCCCTCCCCAGAATATCAAATACTCGTCCCCTTACTGTTATTTTCCGTGTTGTTTTTATGTTATCCAGCTCATCGTCTCTACAGGGGTGTCCTACTAAGGCTGCCATATCATAAAAACGTTTATCACACAGCTCTCATTCTATTATATCTGCATTCATAAATTTTCAATGTCATTTAGACTAAACGACGCATTGTTTGTTATGTGCCCCTTGCGTCTAAATTACCTATTTAAAAGGAAGATGTAGAAGAGAGACAGAAGATCTTCCCAATGCAAAAAAAAAAAACAGAAATGGACCTCTTCTGGCTCACTACAGAAGAACTATAAAACACGCCCCTATATTCCTTGCATTCGAGTAGTGACACGGATTTTGATACTATACAAATCCATGATAGCGATGATATATATATATATCTATATTGGCAAAATCAAAAGCTTGCATATTCAACTTCTGAGTCACAAGTTCAGGTTTTCACTCAGTAAATGTTCAGCTAGTTCTTTAGAAATCAGATATTATAATAAATAAGTTTGTTTATGCTGATCAAAAATTATTACATTGATTTCCAAGTCAAATCATATGAAACATTTGAAATAATAACTGAAATGCATATTGGCTACTCTCAAACGTCAACGAAGTTGCATGAGTAAAACTGCGAATTGTATATGAGTATAATACTAACTAAACAAATCCTTGGTATCACCTATAACATTTACACCAGAGACAAAAAAACCAATACAAAATAATCATCATTAGAGGAAATCTAATTCAAATTTTTATGAACTAAATTATTTCAAAGGTTCGTTTGATCAGAGACATGTATGTATAAATGTCTCTTGTTAGATAAAGTAAATGTATATTTTCTTTTTATGCAGATAATGGATTTTTATATGTAATGTAAAACGTATTACATTTCTTATAATACCTTGACATGGTCAGATATTATGTTTTTGTTTTTGTCACACACTAAATATGTTCGTATGACAATAAAGATATATTATAGTTATTACTTAAACATTGAAGATTTCCGAATATCTGATTTTCTAAAAGAGAGGTGAAAGATACCACAGGGACATTCAAACTAAAAAGTCGAAAATAAACTGACAAAAAATTTGCACGTTTATAGAGGGTGACGTTGTTATTATCTGGTCAGGTTTGCTTTTTTAGTTAGTAGTCGGTATTGAAAGATCCATGTCAACAGACGGATTCATGTCTACTAAGTTGCATGATTTTTTTCAGCAACTTATAAAGACATAAGTCAGGAATCTGATGTTCAGTAGTTGTCGTTTGTTGATGTGGTTCATAAGTGCTTCTCGTTTCTCGTTTTTTATATAGATTAGACAGTTGGTTTTCCCGTTTGAATGGTTTTACACTAGTAATTTTTGGGGCCCTTTATAGCTTGCTGTTCGGTGTGAGCCAAGGCTCCGTGTTGAAGACCGTACTTTGACCTATAATGGTTTACTTTTATAAATTTTGACTTGGATGGAGAGTTGTCTCATTGGCACTCCTACCACATTTTCTTATATCTATGTAAATAAATTACGGTTTGTTGATGACTTGAAACTGACACATAAACTTGGTGCGACCACGTTGGAGCGACGGGTTTGACCTATTTTCTTTTAGATCCTTACCCATAATTATTATCCTCTTAAATCTTTACCAGTGGAATAGCAAAACGTGCTGAACTGAACTAAAAATCAGTACGAAAAAAACCTATATTACCGGTATGACAAATAATATAACATAGTCACAAATACAAATAGAATAATAATGAAAAATACCGTGTGAAAAAATTCCGGAAGCTGCCGAAAGGAAGCTCAAAGTAATTAACCGGCTGTTATGAACTCATGGATTCATAACTACACTCAACTATCAGTCGCTGTACTTCGATGTAGATTTCATACAGCAACCGTCATAAACAGAATATGAAGAACCAATATTATGCTTTTTTCAATACCCATAATAAATAAGAAAATTTTATTGCAGAAAAATAAAAGAAATTAACACGTCTGTGCTGGCATGAAATACGGTGATCTTCTGTAAATTTACTGTCCATAAAATGTTAAAATCACTCGAAAAACAACCTTTTTTGCTCAGTGACTACCAGGCGTAGATGGTCTTAGCCAGATTTGCCTTTTTAAATTTTTTTTTGTCACAATTTCAATGCTCATGGCCTTCCAGCTGTTATGATTCGAGTGCAACTGATAATTACATGTATCAGGTAGAAAAAACGCGCGTCTGGCGTACTTAATCATGAGCCTGCAGCAAGTATTTTTGATGAGTTTCGGTGTAATAATATGCCACATGATATGTGATTACCAACGAGACAACTTTCTATGAAAGACCAAAGTACAAAGTTGTGAACAATTGCAGGTCAAGGTATGGCCTTCAACATTCGGAACAAAACCCATACTGTATAGTAAGCAATAAAAGGTCAAGTATGCCAAAATGTGAAACAATTCAATAGAGAAAACAAACGGGATTAAATCATACTACAACAATAAACGTAAAACAACTATGGGCGACGACAACCAATGGTTACAGGCTCCTTACTTGGAAGGTGCACATAAAGAGTGTGACTGGGTCACATGTTAGCGAACGCTGAACCTTCCTTCAATCTTAACAGCGGTGTAACAATAACACACAAGAACTGCAAAAATCAGTCACTCATCAAATCGGTATACTAAGCACAAAACTTTTACAACAAAAAGCCTTGTTTCAAACTATGAATTTATGTTCATCCCGGAAAAAAAATGCAAGACACATTGAATAAAGAACTACAGCATGTATGATCATGTATAGTTGGCGTCATAATTTATACTTTTAATTTCACGAGAGAAAAAAAACGTGCTGCAAATGCAGGGGCCAATATATTGAATATTTCTAGCAACAGCATATAAAGACTATATGTCAAACAGAATTGTCAGCAAGCCAGATAGATCATCCTGCTCGGTGACTACTCACGTGACTAATATAATGTCATGTCGAAGAAGTTGTCAAAGAAAAAGAAAAAAGAAAATATTCTAAACTGAAATAGTTCTGCCAAGAAGAAATGTATTCAACTGTGTATTTCAATAATGAATAAAGACTTCATATGAGCCTTAATGCCACATAAAGATTGGTTGGTTGAGTGGTCTTCGAGATCTACACTATAATATAACTATGAACAAAAGAAAAGTGAGGTATATGTCAATGAGACACTTATGATAACCTAATGACAAAGATTAGAGGGCAATATACAGTCTTCAACAAAAGACGGGTGTCTATACAATATGTGAAGCCCAGGGCCCTCGGTCATAAAACTTTACTCAGTACTCAGTACAAAATTTGTGCTCGAAACACCAAATTCAGTATTTTGATTGGTTGATTTCTGAGTCTGAGAACAATTATCGTGCTC